TCATGTAAGACATACAATGCTCCATTTAAAGCTGCAGTTACCTTTTTGTTATCTCTTTCCAGTATGCACTTATTATTCTTAAATGTAACCACATATCCTAGTTTATCTAATTCTCTTACAGAAAGTAAGTTCATTTTTAACTGTGGTACATACAACATGTTTATATTCTGTTTTAAACATGGACAATATGCAATACCTTCACCCTTGGCCTTGAGGTGCCAACCATTAGCGAGTGATATATGCTGAGAGCTTGTAGACATTTTTATAAACTTTGTCTTATCTCTCGTGATGCAGTGGGATGCTCCACTGTCCACCACCCATATATCATTCTTCATATCACAGTTGCTGTATGTGGCTAGTTCAAAGGATTTCTTTGGCTTCTTTAAATTCTGGCGTTTTCCTTTTCTGCAGAATCTTGCCAAATGTCCTCTGCCTCCACAATTAAAACACTTTTTAATTGTGTATGCCGTTGAAGATAACTTCTCTTCCTCCGGGTGCTTTACCTTGCATAGCTGGTTCCTTTCAGGCTTTGAAGATAATTTCTCTTCCTTATTAGGCTTATCTTCCCTCAGCTGGTCACGTTCACTCCTTCTTCTGGCTTCTTCTAATAGCCTGCCAGTTATCTCAGTTACTGATAAACTGTCTTTTGGCAATACCTCTAATGCAGTCACAAAATCATCATAGCTTCGTTCCAAAGAAGACAGTATAATGTATACTTGTTGCAACTCATTAAATATAAGCTCTTTTTCCTGTAATTCTTGAAAAATGCTTTTCATACAGTTTAAATGAGTTAACATGTCTCCATTGCTCTCAAGATGTGTTCTAAACAGCTTCCGTGTAAGATTAATATGAGCTCCTACACTGTCTCGAACATAAATCTTCTTGAGATTATCCCAGCAATTGGCAGCACTATCCTCTCCACGAATATGTATCAGTTGCTGGTCTGAGAGAGTCAGTCCTATGATGCACAAAGCCTGTTCATTCTTTTGCTTATAGTCCTGTATCTTTTTGGCATCCTCTTCAACAGTAGGATCCAAATTGGATACATCTGGTGGGTTTGTTATTATGTCCCACAAACCTTCTCTTCGTAGCAGTAAACTACACTTCATTGACCATGAAACATAGTTTGTTCCATCTAACCTGGATATCATGGACAGACTTGGCAAATTTACTTGTGCCATTGCTCTGCAGAAAAATAACTATTCAACAAACAGTTTGTCTTTACAGCAATGTGTAACTCACCCCAAATCTAACTCTCAGATATAACCTGGTTAGCTAGACTGTGCACACTGCTGGGCCCATAACCAATGTTAGTGTTTGGGGATAAACCCCCGAGCAGAGTGCACAGCAGCAGTCTAACCAGGCAGCCAAATGAGAGAGAGAGGCTGGGCCCAAGAGTATACACACACTGGAGACAAAAACACTGTTTGTGGTTTTAAATAGATATTTAATTCACACAGAGATTAAGAATAGTCATTCAGTCCATATGTCAGTATCCAGTATATCCATCCAGTTACCTAGTCTATAAACAGTAAATACAATGTCTTTATCTGCTTGTAAATCTTCTTCTTCTGATACCTTTCTCTCAAAGACAATGCTGAGTATGAACAGCTCACCAAGTAAACACAGTCCTTTTGTTCAGTAGAGAGAAATATCTTGCACAGTAGACATCTCATACAGGAGTAAACAGCAGGCAAACAGCAGACAGACCAGAGACCAGTAACACCAGGAACCAGGAACTCGAAACCAGGATCAGAAACCAGGAAGTGTTACGTCTCTCTCACTGCCTCTTATTGCAGCCTGCAACCACACCCATAATTATGCGATGACATTGCAGTTTGGAGCTTAAAGTTGCAAACACTTAAACCTAGGTTTTATATATTCATTCACCCAAACCAGTTGGTGTATCCATATACCCAACACTGGGGGTATTTTCCATTTAACTATATCGTCCCGTTCTTCCTGCTGTTCGCTTCTTTTTCTCTCCAGCACAATCTTATTCGAGCTTAATCTTCCCCTTCAGGGTGGCCATTTTAGACCATCGCTTCAGATGTTTTCGGGAGGGAGCAGTTGCCAAGCCAGCGAGGGGATTTGCGACTCTCCTCTACCTGGCTGATGGTCTCCCCTTCTTCTGCCACCCCTACGAGGCAGCTTCTGCTCTAAATCAGACCGATCGGGTCTCTCCGACACTGAAGCACGGACCAAAGCTGCGGACAATCGCAATCAGCGGTCCCTCTTCAGGGAAGTTCAAAACTGTATTGGTATGTAGTGCCCATGGCATTATTATTTCAGGAAGAATCATTAGGTGACTCATACAGCTTTAAAAATGTTTGGTTTGAGAGAAAAAGAGTTCAGTCAACACTCATAATCAGTATCTTTTTATAGCCAATATTATTTTTAAAAATGCACTTGCATACAATATGATCAGTTTGTTTTATTGAAAGAAACAGAATAACTAGGTAACACCCTGAATATTCCACACTTCAAAAAGACAATCTGTTCTGTGAATTATGTAAGGATAGGTAATTACAGGTAGTCCTTGACTTATAACAGTTCACTTAGTGACCATTCAAGGTTGCAACAGCATTGAAAAAAGTGACATGACTATTTTTCACACTTATGACCATTGCAGCATCCCCATGGTCACATGATTTACATCAGATACTTGACAACTGACTCACATTTATGATGGTTGCAGATAGTCCCGGGGTCATATGATCCCCCTTTGAAACCTTCTGACAAGCGAAATCAATGGGAAACCTGATTCACTTAACAACCATGTCACTAAGTTAACAACTGCAGTGATTCACTTAACAAATGTGGCAAGAAAAGTTGTAAAATGGGGCAAAACTCACTTAACAAATTTCTCACTTAGCAACTTAACTTCTGGGCTCAATTGTGGTTGTAAGTTGAGGACTACCTGTACAGTATAGCCACCTAATATTTCTAACATACAAAAATATGATTAGTTTACAACAGCCTGAAAAAGCCTATATTGGAAATTATTTTTAAAAAAATAACTTTGTTATCTACCCATATGAAAACAGGAAACAAAAAACAGAACATAAACATTTCCAGTGAATGGGGGAAATCCATTATCATAAAAAACACATGGCTATTTTCCAAAATGTCTAAATTCAGGAATACATGTAAAATGGCCATTTGCTGTTGCCATTATGAAGGGTTTAAAAAAATCTAAAGAGAAACTTTCATGAAAGTTTTTTACAGGAAAGTTCCTATATTAAATAAAAAGTATTTATACATTCTTTATACTGTTAAATGATTTGTTCCACTAGTTAATGCTATTTGAGACCCTGCACCTACAATATCAATTAAGATCCACAAATATGTCAGGGAACTTATGTTAAGTAGTGTTTATAAATAATTAAGTGTAAACATTGATAGGGGAAAATCTTATTGTGGATTATCTTTGAATTATGTAAGTGATTGTACTTTTTGTATTCAAATTAGGATAATGACTTATTCCAATCTTCCTCATTTTCTATTTTTTTTTAAGCTGCCTGTACAGCATTTCTAAATCTATTTCATTCAGTTTAAATAATATAAATAATTCATTCAATTTATATTGTATAAATATAGCATAGATACTTTTTATATTATTATTTTTTTGAAAACATTTTTCAAGCCTAATAAAATCATGGCATATTAAGTAAGGATGAATATTTTCTCAGATCAGGAATCCAGATCTCCTGTTAAAATGTCCTCAATGTAAATAAAACCTCTGCTGAACTGCTTTTAACACAATTCACATATGCATCTGTTTTCATCTTCAGGGCTGAGATAGTTGGTACTTGGTTAATTTTGATGGGGCAAGCTGTTTGGGAGCTGGATTTCCAAACGGTCACCTTATTCTTTTTGTGTTTCCTTCTTATTAGCATGAAAACCAAACAGAATACTTAGCTTGCTAAACAATACAATTTGAAAGAGTGAGGAATGGAACTTATGTATCCAAGAGTCTTTGGACCGACCCATTACTTCTAGTTCACTTCCCTAGCACACACCAGCATTGTTCAGTCACGTTAGTGGCAGAAGGGATTCAACCTCATCTGTAAGCTATAGGAACAGTAGTGGAGTGATCACATATGATTTGCTTTACAGTCCTGTGCTTTGTGTGAGTTCAGACAAAGTCTTAAACAATATACTTAAAAAAAGAAAATTCAGTATTACTGTTTGATGACTGCAGCCCAAAAGAAACACAGAAAAATCTAAAATCTATTTGAAGTACTAGTTAAAAATATGCTGATCCTTCAACTTTTAGAGGAAATATTGCCCATTGTTTAGGGAGAAGGCAGCAGGAGGTGTCATTGCATGAAAGCAATGATGTGAGACGAGAACCAATAAAAGCTGAGGGCAGACGTTGCCCAAAATATCAATAATTTCTGAAGCAGATTGATATTTATTCCTTTGAACATAAAACATGACATGATAGTGATTTTGGCAGGGTGGCTTTTAAATATTTGTATGGAAGGAATTCAGAAAGGCCATTTGATTATCTCATGAGAACAGACACTTAATGGTGCAAGATAACAAATATATCAAACAAGCAAAGTAAAGATGTGTGATAAAAGAATTAACAAGCCACATAAATATTGTAGTCCTATAAATTAAATACAAAACTTTCTTGGCTCCCAAATATATACATTTGGTGCCATAGGCAAATTTTCAATGATAAATCAAAACTCAGTGCAACAGCATAACCAATAATTTTTAATGCCTTATAATCAATCTTGCTTTTTTTAACCAAGGTCCTATTAAGCATCCTATTTCAAATAACACTCCAGCACATACAAAAGTACATTTGTTTTCTTCAATTAAAAAAAGCTGCTTCATTTTGTATAATGGTGTTTAAAAACAGATTCTTCACTATACTCATTGTGTTGAAAATGATTACTATACTCATTGTGTTGAAAATGATTACTGTAAAATGATATTAGGACAGCAGTCAGACATTTTAATTCATAAACCTAGTTTTTTTTAGCAGCAGTAGTATGTGTGTGTGTGTGTGCGTGCAGTGCATGAGGTCACCGAGTGTAGTATTCATAATGATACAGAGAAATGAAATTATGAAAATAAGTTAACATTTTAGGAAGATCTATGCTCGCTATGCAAATGAATTTTGCAAGATCTTCCATTTCATCTAGAAGTCCAATTTTTTGTTCTTTTAAAATAAGAAATCCACATTGCTTTTCTGTGTATCTGTACAAGCCCGGAAAAGACCCAGAAAGACTAGCTTTAGTCAGTTCACATGATTGGATAATAAATTTTGGAACATCATTCCTCCAGGGATAAGATTGGCCTCTACCCTGATGCTTTTCCACGAGGTCTTGAAGATATGGTTTTGACAGACGGCTTGGGGACCCCATTCTGAGCCAATCAAATGGCTTGTCTGATTCTGTTGTTGCTGCACTAGGGTGGTTTTCTTTAAATAAAAAAATTGTGGATTTTTAAAGTTATACACTGCCCAGAGTCACTGTGTGCGAGTCAGGTGACCATATATGTTTAATAATAAATAAATTTCAAAAAATACAATACACATCTGTATTCATTAATAAAAGAATGAGATAAAATCTAATGCTCCATTTGGCACTTCTGGTGGATTGCTAAATAGAATTGTACCTGTTGACTGTATAATCAGAGTATGATAACTGCAATAATAGTTTTAGCTATGTATGATTGCATCATTTTCCATCTAGTAAAGCTTCAATCAAGGAAAAGTTTTTTAGTATTCACACTCTTGCCTCACCCCCCATCATATTACAGGATTTCACAACAAGAATAACTTATTTGACACCCTTCCTTTGTTCACCATACTATTTACTCTCTTCTTTCATTTTAGAAACCCAAGAAATAAAACCTAATTTTCCTCTATTTGTTAACGTTACTAAATTTTAAGCATTTTGTAGGATAGTGTACTTAAAACTCCCAGTTTTTGTTTTATATTTATGCAACTGGATTTAAAAAGTCCATTAAAAAAAACATCCTTAAAATTGGTTTGATATGTTATCTGCTCTGATAAAAGAGGCATGGATAAAAAAAACATAAGCAATAACACTTCCAAGTACCATAACTACAGACCAAGATCATTATAAAATGATATCCATCATGCAGAAAATTTGGTTATTTCTTTTGTTGCTGAAGAAGTTGTAGATAACATAGTTGCACCTAGATGCAAAAAATACTTGTGATACTTGTGTCATCTGATCCTTATATTTTAACATTTAATTCATATTTCTTGATTTTAAAACAATGAAGGGATATTTTCTTCAGCTAATAGCATAAAAGGGGAAACTAGGTATCTTGAAGAAAAAGGAACAAAATATTTTGCTTATAAAATACTCGTTTCAAGCTCTAATCAGAAGAAATCAGCAATCTATACTAAACATTGTGGACAGACTTCAAGCAGACATTCATATCCAATGTTAATATAAATGTTCAGTATTGCAAAGGATGTTCAGATATACATAATTTTAACTGCCATTGGAATGTATTTTTATCCAAATAGTTGTCAGGTTTATTTGGTAGTAGATCTTTTATTATATACCAGGAAGTCAGAAATATCATGCCAAACATTACTGTCATCATATAGGTAGGTCATGGATGATTGTAGTGATGGTTGTAGAGTGTGCCGGTGATACTCAAAAAGCCAAAGAATGATCCCCCAAACCATAGCAGCAAAAATTGGGAAGGTATCTTGTTTGGGCTGTGGGATATAACCCTTCTCTACTGCCAATCGAGACAAGCCAAACAGGATACGAGATAATAGATACATATTTATCTGTTCAGGAAAAAAGTACTGAATTAAAATTAGGCAATTAGCACAACAGGAAAATGAGATTACTTGAAACAACTTTCAATTTAGGAGATCATCTAGTTCTTTCATATCAAAATCAGTCTCTAATTTTAACCAGACTGCTTGCATTTTAATAAAGTTCAGCAACATTTTACATCTATTCCTAAATCTAATGCTAGAAATACTGTATCAGCTATAAATAAATCCTTTCCCAGTTGCATCAAGACTGGTTTCAAAAGAAATGCATCTGTATTCAAAGTACATTTCCTAAAAAGCATCCAAATTTTATCTGGATTTTTAAATTTTACAGTGAAAAATCAACATGGATAGGAATTCTTCTGCCACAATTATCTACCACTGTGAAGTATCGGTTCTAACTTACCAAATAATTTTTTTCATCCTGGAAGATATGCTTCTCTAAATGGGTTTATCATTTAAATAACAATACTTATCTTTTGTTAAAATGTTCATTGAGTGTGGTTAGCAAATAGATAGCATATATTCTTTATAGCAGGGCCTGTTCTCTGAAATAAGGTTGTCCCCAAGACTCAAACGGACCCTAGTCTACTATTGTTTATATGAGCTGTGAAGACTTGGCTCTTCACCTAAGCTTTTGGCACAGGAAAGTGAGACCCCTCGCTTCATTCCACTTGCCACCTTTTATCTTTTATTAATGTTCTTGTAATATGATTGCTATCCAGAATAGTTGAGAATTGGGCAGCATACAAGCTTATGATTACTAATTCCTTTCTTACATTTTATTAGTGAAAGAAAGATGCAGAAGAATTGTATACAGATAAATTCACTACCCCATCTGTGGCAGATACACAAAAATTAATAATGGAAAAATGTGATGGAACAATTTACTAATTTTTTAAATTTCCCTTTCACTCTTCATGAGATCAATAGAACCATAAATCTAACACAAAACAACACAGTTGCTTACCTGGCTGTTAATATTATTACTTTCCCCAAACACTAACCAGCCCCCAATGAAGGCTGCAATGAAAGAATGAAGTGGAACCTTCTTTCCTTGCATTTGTGATTGCATGGCCATCAAACCCTTATAAATGAATACAAAATAGGACAGACATCTAGAATGCGTATAGGTAGCTTGAAGAATTGTTTTCAATTTTTCCTTTAGGCTGAAGGGAAGAAACAAAGAACAATTATTACACATAACATTATTTCCCTAAAAATATAATAAATCAATTATAATCTTTCCCTGAAAATATTATTAGTCATTGCTTCTGATGTACATTAAAAAGTAACAAGATCCTCATTTCACGTTCAGAAAAATTAGAAAACTAAAGCCACATAAGCTATAAAAGAGCACAAATACATTTTCTAGTCAATGTACTCAAATGTTTATAATTTTAACAGTTTGTGGCATTTTAAAAGACATAGTTGTAGAAACTGAAACATTGGAATTAACATTGAATTAACATACAAAGAATGGCAGTTAAGTTAAATATGACATGACTAAGATCGTTAAAATTATTAAAAATTCAAAGAAGAAATTGTGATATCTACTAGCTGAATTCTATTTAGTCAGGAGAACATCTATAAATTAATGAATCTTCAACTACAGAATCACATTACAATGGATAAGATTGCAATGTTACTTTTACATTAAGGGCTGATATGATGACAGCATAAGCTGCATTGGACATAGTGAAACTTAGTTGAGAATATATATGTATGTATTGTTAGATTGCCTCATAACCCTCCCTTGATTTCCTAGAAAATGTTGTTTCTATGGATAAATATCCACAAAACAGTATTAAATACATGTATAGTCTGATTTAAGTACAAAAAGGACAAAGGGTATTATTAATCTAATACAAGATAATCCTTTTTCTGTGCTAATATACAGTATTTAATTCAGTGAAAAACATCCAAACAGAAACATTAAGAATGCAGAGAAGAAATCACAATGTGTACTAAAAGTCTGCAGATAGTCCTTGACTTACAACCACAACTGAGACCAGAATTTTCATTGCGAAACAGGGTGTTTGTTGAGTCATGCCCAATTTTATGATCTTTTTTTGCCACAGCTGTTAAGCAAATCACTGCACTTGTTAAGTAACTCATACTTCGTTAAGTAAGACTTTGCTTGTTGGAAGTTGGCTTCTGCTTCCAGAAGACTGCAAATAATGATCAAGTAACTCCGGGACACTGCAACCATCATAAATACATATTGGTTGCCAAGCACCCAAATTTTGATTATGTGAGTGTGGGGATGGTTGTAAGTGGCTGTGATGGTTGTGTGAGTACCAGTTGTAAGTCACTTTTTTCAGTAATGTCGCTAAACTAATGGTTGTAAGTAGAGGGCTACCTGTATTTTAAAAAACATGCAGACAACAAGGTAGGCTTCTTTGATTTCTATGGCTTTATTCTGTAAGTGACAGATGCTCTGAGAAATGTACCTTCCACTTTTGAAGAGAAATGTCATTACCAAAGCATGAGGGGCACGGATTTTGGCTCCATAACTGCCAAAAATAAAGAAAATGCATAAAATTGTCAGTAAAATAAAGTTTAATGTGTGTTTGAATGCAATTATTGCAAGTAAGCAATACCCCAATCAAGAAACTGCCAAAAAGCCATCAGTAAACAGCCCAACCAAAAAATCTCTAAGACTACCGCCACCCACACAGATAGGCAAGACACCAGAATATAAAATGACAGGAAACTACTCTACTAGCACTGATGAAGTTACCTAGGGTAATGAAACGCCTGCAAGAAGAGCAAGCTCAGAGAGTACCAAGGACCCCCTAATTATTGCTTGATGTAACTTGAAAACAGAATATGGGGATACAGTTCTTGGGATGACAAATCAGCACTTTTCACAACTCCTTTGCCATATATATTGGGATATAAATTGCACAAACAGGTTGAGTTTGTTCTACACTGATAGACTTAACATGGTTGCCTAATATGGCACATAAATCTGAATGCTCAGATTTAGCATATCACTAAAACAATGTTCTGAAACCTCTTCCAAGAGTGGGAGAAAAACGTATGCCTGCCCACACAAAACGTCACTTACACCTATAAACAAAGCATCAGTAAAAAGGGTCGTTATTTTCTCAACAAGCAGACAATACCAGGCAATCTATTGCAGCATCCCACAAAGCGGCGGGGGGAGGGGGACTGTGAAGAAGAGTGAAAGCAAAGTTGGAGACAGCCCAGCCAAGGGCAAATCTGCTTCATCCCACTTAATTCTTAGTGAAATCAGCGTAAACCCTGGTCCGTGGTCGCCAAGAGGACTCAGGCAATAGTTTCGGAACAGGAACGCGAAAGAAAGACGGTCCCCAGCTGAAACTTACACCGCTCCGTTGCGGAAGCCCTTGAGCACCGCCAGCATGGTGTGATATCTCCGCTGCTGCAAGAGAGAATTGACGGTGTAGAGCAAAGTCTTGAGAATTGTCTGATCGCCCATTGCCTCAGCCTTGACACTTAGGATCTACAAGCCGGTCAATCCGGGGAAACAATTTGGCTGAAACACAAAAGGCATAGAAGCAGAGCTTCAGGAAATAATGTCCAAGCGGAAAACCAATCCCTGAACTCTAGTTCCGCTCTAATTTTATAGGCTCGAGAGAAGGTTTAAGTTACAGACGAAGAACATAGAACATAGAATTAACAGAGTTGGAAGGGACCTTGGAGGTGATCGATAAGCAAAATGTACAGCCCTGTAATTATAACTTTTCCTTACCCGGCTGTTCAAGCAGAAGCAACTTCTATGTCTGCATCTTTAAAAGAAGGCATGAAGTTGGTCGTTTAAGATCCAGACCAAATTGCAAACAATAGTATTACTAAAGTACAGCATTTTCAGAAGCCACGACATCACAATGGTTATTCTGAATATTATGGGAAATTAATTACTTTGCAGAAATGTAGGACGTCACTTGGTCTCAAATCCCCAATTTTACAATATGAATAATTATAGTCTATATTTTCAATGTGGCAAATTTAAAGAAGATAAACAAGATTGGATCTAATTAGAATGGAAGATTATCAAATCTCAGAGGTTCAAATTAGATTGGAAATTTGAAACATATACACACATACACTAGTGCCCCAAGAAGGCATGACAAAGCACTTTTTAAACAGTGCCAAGAAAACTATGGAAGTGTCTTATGCCTTTTAATAAAAAAATATTCTTTGGAAAAGGTGCTACTAGGCTCCTTATTTTTCCCCATGAAGTTAACCAAGGGTTTAGTTAATTCTTTTTATATTATATTTTCATTTGTGGCAGTTTTGTTTTAAAAAGCTTAAAATATTATTTTTCTAGAGATAATAACATGAATGAAAACCAACACAAATTCCTCCTCATTTTATAATTTACTTTATAGGTGAAGCAGGTCACATGGCACTGAATTCCTTTTTTTTCTTATTATGAATATGTTTCATTTTAGAATAGAATAGAATTCTTTATGATTGGGCACACAAGGAATTTGTCTTTGGTGCTCACTGTATATAAAGGAAAAAATACATCAAGATACATACTTTTCACCCTTTATTAATACATACATTTCACCCTTTAAACAAGATTTTAACCCTTTAAATAAGATTTTTAACTCTTTAAACAAGATTAGTAAGTAAGCAGGTAGTTTATATGAAAATAGGATACCAATTTAACTGCTTTTCCTGTTGATCAGGTACCTGGTATCGGTGGCAAACAAGTAGAATTCTTTGATGTTGGCTTGAGAAAGATTTTTAAGCAAACTGTGTTTTGATAGAGGATAAGAGTGTGCCCTTAAATCCCTCCCAGACTTGGAATTGTGGAAAGGGAACTTCACGAAGACAGTATTGTCACAAAAACAGGAAAAGCCCAAGGGGAACATCAGGTCAACCAGAAAACAAACTTACATAGGAAAAGGAATCAAATAAAAAGTATTAAAGAATCCCTATAGACAAAAGCCTAAGTAATTAAGAAAACTAGACAGATAAGAAAAGGAAACAAAAGATAATTTAGAAAACCCTTACAAACACAGGACATACCAAATAAGCAAAACAAACAGACAAAAGACACAAAATATAAATTACAAAAGGGACAGACAGGAGATTGCCACAGAACAAATATGAAAAACTATCTTAAAGCTAAAAGAGATTACAGAAACCAATAATACAATCTGGCCACCCCGCTGAGTTTGCCCTCCGGCGGAAATAAAGACAAACTCAAGCAGGATTTGACACATTAGGCACAAATACAAACACTCACACAAAATCAACTTACAAAGGGAGAAAAGGGTATAAAAAACCAGGGACTTACCATGGGAAGCTAGCTAGCCCAGGAACACAGACTTCTCACTGTTCTCCTCTTTCCTGAAAAATAAAAAGATCCAGCTTTAAGGAGTTGTCCATATACTTGCGCCGGAGCTCTCCCAGCAGGAAAATCGAATCCCTGAAAGAAAGGCATTTTGACACCTTTCAACAGAATGTTGCCCAGTGGATTAATCATTAATTTATAAATTTGTCAATCTGATGTTGGAAGAAAAATCCTTCTGGGTTCAGTTCCAAGTGGGGAAAAAGACACTGGAAACATGGAGGCTGTTTGGAAGGTTTAATGGTGGACAGGACCACATGGCCTGGAGCCCCAGATTGAAAAGGAAGGATGATCACATGCTTCAAGGTGAAGGAAGAGATCAAGAAAAGGGCTGAGGTGCTGAGAGTGCCTGGGTTTTATAACCTTTGTTGGGATTTGAATTGGAGCTTGTATTCTGATTGGTTGTCAGACTCCCATGAGGCAGGGGCAACTCTGTAGGCTGTCCTGAGTTCCAGGCTTGGTTAAGCCTTGCTGGATGATGATGCACTGAAAGGGCTTTTGAGCAATTGCTATAGTTTTACCTGGAGATCTTTGTTATGTAAAGTATTCTGGCCCAGGCCTTAATGGCCCACCCATTAACAAAGGTGGAGGTGAGTTTCTACTTCTGAGGTGTTTTTGCTCTTGAGTTTCTACTCTTTTTAGGGGAAATATTCTGCCTTTTTAATATTTCCTAAGATATTTCAATTTTCTAGGAGAGGTGTGGGTGCTAACTTCCTACACTGATTCAAAGAGTTTGAGCATGATTAGTCAAAAGGCATTATAGAGAAAGGTTGGAGGAAAAAATGTGTATAGATTGGACACAGACCCTACACTGATTCACTGAATTTCAGAGGGTCTCTTGGTCATAAGGCTGAATTACTTTATGGATTTAAGTCAAGAGAGATGGTTGTGTAGGCCTGCTCTCTGATAGATCACAAAGATGTTCCTACTGGCTCAATATGTCTTGTGTATTAATAAGTCATGCCTGATGCTGCATCAAAATGTAATCTTTGCTTTGATAGGGTACATTTCCATTTTCTGGGCGGGATTTAAACTTTGATTCTCATCAGTGTTTTCACAAAGGTTATTTCCCCACTGCTCTTGAACACTTGGATTTCTTTTCAGGGCTAGATCCTTTCCCAGAGGCCATTGATGAGGCTCCACATAGTGGAACACGAATATTGTCTTATAGCGATTCTGAAATATCATGAGCTCCATGGCTGAAAGCTAAGCTGATGAGCATCATTTAGAGTTGGTGAGCATATCTGAAATTTTGGGAAGATGTTTTGGGTGCTTTCAGAAAATTACTCCCATAATGAAAGTCTCATCGGTTTTGGTTGTGGTTAAAATGTCTTTCAGAAAGTGGCAACATAACTCTATTATCCTACACCTGCTTTTGGTGGCTGAGTCTGAACATCCAACAAAATACGTAAGTACCCAAAATTATGTTTAGGCTGCACATAGGTCCTATTGAATGCACATCCAAATCCTTAGTTGAATAATATTTTATTGGAACCAATAAAAAAGTACAAAAAATGATAGAAACTTTCAGGTTCTCCAAAATGTATGAGTCATGCAAAAGGATATAAAAAGGGGGAATGCATGAAGAGGCATGGAAGTCCCCAAAATCTGGACTGATAGTCCACTCCTGGGATCCCCTGTGAAGAATCTGAAATGGAGTTTGATTGTTGGTGGCAATATCACGGATACAACTTTTCCTCTTGACAACTGGGACAAAGAACATGGTTGGCCCTAAGCTCAGATCGCAAAATGCAATTTTTTTCCTTTGCTCCCAATTTTTTTCCTATCCTCTTTTTCGTTTGCTTTCCTTTGCTTTAGACACAGAGGTTCCCGAAGAAAGTCTGACATTTCTTCTACATAAATTAAAAGATAAGGTCCCCTCCCTGAACAAGCCGAGTGAAAGACCGAGACAACGCAGCAGCAAGCTCTCTGGCTAACCCTACGGCCAGGAGGCCCCGCCCCTTCCAGCTAGGCTATTCCCTGAGCCAGCCTCCCCTCCCCACCTCGTCGCCTCGCGCTCCCCCTAGCGGCGGAGCGACCCTCCCTCGTCTTCCCATAATGCCCGTTTAGGTTGTTCTGCTGTGGCTGCCTCGGCTTCAAGATGGCGCAGGCGATATTCGAGGCGCTGGAAGGTATATCGCGGGGAGCCGGGCGGGTTGAGGCCTCGCGTCTGGGAAAGTCCATTAAAAAAAAAAAGCGCGGCTATTCCACGCTGGGCGCCTCCCTCCCGCTGTTGTGGATGGGACGGGGGCTGAGAAGACGTCGGTGCCGCCTCTGGTGCTGAGGGAGGGTTCCTGGAACAGCCACTGTACGGTGTCTGTCTTGGAGGAGTAACCGCACCATCCGGCCGTCACCATCCTGCGTGCGCGGATAAATTTGTTTCTCCCGATAAATCCCGGAGGAGCCAAATCTTGGCAAGGGACGGGAAACTAAGCAGGCGGCTCGGGTTCTCCTGGAAATTGTTTCCAAAGCAAAGAAGGGACGGTGGCTTGGCCAATTGCTACCGCCTCTCTTGCAAGTTCCGTTCAAAGGGCATTTGTTGCTTTAATTTCCTCTCTGTAAGAATTCCTTTTTACCTCTAAAGGTGCCTTTTCTGGCTTCTTGAATAATGCAGCTTACGTAACATCGCCACCATTCCCTGGAAGAATTGCATCGTAGTGATTGGTGTGACATTAAAGTCTGGGCACGTACATTTGTGAAAATCACTGCTGCTAAAGGTTATTTATTTTTTACAAATGCAAATGTAGTTTGCTACCTGCAGTGGCAGTTCAAAATTGAAAATGTTCCCCGGTTGCAAATTACGTTCCCTCCTAATTGTGTGAAACTCCAAGATACTGTATGCTTCTGTAAAAATTGTTTTAAGAAGGATCCCTAATGAATTGGATCAGCAATCTATTTAATACAGTACCCTGTCTAAGTTTGGCCAACTGGATTCTTCTCCATAATATATAATTTAAAAGAGCATTGTTGTTACTTGATTTACACATCTCAGGACCAACTAATGTGGCTAGTTTAGGTTCAGTTTCCACTGCTTTGTGAATCAGCCACTGAAATTTGTGTTATAATGAACTTGGTCATGGTGGTATCTACATATAAGTATAATTTATGAAATTTATGTCTTCTGAAAGTGCTCTAAAACAGCAACTGTATTATATTTATCTGGAAAAAAACCTAAAGGCTTCTCAGTAGACACTTTGTTGTGTTGAACAGTAATTTCCTTAAATTATTGTTTTATAGGCCCTATTTCCCAGGCCATTAAAACATAAACATTTAGCCTAGTCTGACAAGTAAATTCAACTACTGACATGTGTTTTTGTAGTTGATGTAGCATGTGTTATCACAGCAGTGAAACAGTTTTAGTGGGCTGTCATAAGTCTTTCAGAAAAGTGTGCTAAAATGAATGTCCTTTCAGTACTGTTTAAAAAGAAACAATTACTGGATCCCAAAGTCCAATCTATAAGAGCTTGTCCCATTTAGGTTTGAAAACTGGTTGTTCTGTATAGTGAAATCTGACACAAATCATTGATTAAATTGATACCAAAAAATAAAATCACTATCCAAACAACGATTATGTCTGTGCAGAGCATTCTTGTTTTGGAACCATTTGATTTTGAAGTCTGTCTTAACTTGAAAAAACATGATGTGTTACCTCAATATCGACAATTTAAGAACTGAATGTGCTACTTTATTGGAAATCTTGCCTCTTTACTAAGTGCATCTTTGAGGCTTAGCATAGCTCTAGTAATAATATTGGATACAAGATATCCTCAAGCTATTTCAAAGTCTACCTTATGATGTTCTTAAAATTATATTCTTTTTAAAAGAAGTTTCTGGGATAGTTTTCTATCTAATTTTCAGGATGCAAGGGATCATTTTGATTTTCTCCTCTCTGAGTTTTTGTTGTTTGAGCTATCAGAGACTACTACTTCCTCCAGGTTTTATCAACTATCTTTTAAAAGAAATGTCTGTGGTAATTTCCTTTTGATCAAGTTGACAGCCAGCTAGTAGAAAAATGACAGAACTTTTCTACATGGCACTAAAATATAGCACATATGTATGATGTTTGCCCGAAGCTCTTTATTTGGTACAATGAAAAATAATTGAGGTTTCCCGAGTCTTTACCTTTTATTAGGGATCACAGATAACTGACAATGGTATATTTGATATAATATATTCTAGGATTTAGGAAAACTTATTAAATCACATGTACTTCATTCAAATAATTTGTAAAGTATGATGACAAATTTGCATATACATCACATAAAACGTATGTATGAATTTACAGCTTCTTTCCAACTATAGTTAACCCAAATACAATTTCATTTTAGAAAAGCATTTAGTGTATTTAAAACACATACATAATATACCAATATTATAATCAAGATATTTTTTATTGGAAGTGATGAGAAAGCTTATATGACAAGAAGGATACTTCCTTTTGCCTTATTTATAGATAATTACTATGGATTATGGATGGAGGAGGAGGAAGAGTGAAGGAATGGAATTTGGAATTATTATTACTAGTCTATGTTACCTTGAAGCATGATCTTATTAAGATATTGGCTAATTTGCAGTTTTAAACTATATTACAGTGGTGCATTTAAGTTTTCAATTGACAAAAAGTAAAAAAAAATAATGGTTCTTAGCTGGCTTAATTTATCAGTGAATTTGATCGTAATAAAAAAATGAAATAAATTGTAGCTTTGGTATAACAGCCTGGGCACATGTTGTCATTTGTCCCATCTGTGGATGCTCATGATCATTGCCTGCTGGTTCATAAGCAGTGAAACAATAGCCATCTCTACCTCATTTATAATAAGAAGTATGTGTTTAAGCATGACTTTCTAGTTTGATGTAATTCAGATTTTCCTAATCTCCTAGTGTCATCTTGATATATTGGAACTTATTTTATCGCCAACAATGTAATCAAAGTTGACTAGAGATAATCAGAAAAGATGTACAAAATTGGGGAGGATTGGTTTAATTCATTTTAAAAGCCTTAACTATTTCATACCTTGGAATTCTACTCATTGACTTTGTATTAGGTTTTCATGTTATTTTAAGTAATATGGTTATTTGTTTAACTTTGGCTCAGTATAATACATAAACCACTGTAGTTTGCTTCACAAATCATGTCTTACCTAGAGTAATATGTGAAACTGACCATTGTATAAAGAAAGACCTGGATGTAAGGTTCTGTCATTTAAACATAGCAGAAAGGGAGAAAATCTACTTTGTAAGTTTTTTTTTAAAAAAAGATTTTATGTTTAAGATGCATAAAGCATTTAATAATTTGAGGTTATAATCCTACAGATATTTACTTAGAAGAAATTGTTGGCAATTTAATTTGTGCTTTTGTGTTGGTGCTTGTCCTTTTCTAGCTTCCTAATCTTTTTGACAAGTAGGCTAGAAGGTCATAGCAGCTACTCCACAAATTGCAGAATGGTGTTTCACTCTTCATAGTAAGGACAGGCAGAAAGTAATTTATATTTATTTAAATTAGTACTTTTGCTTTCTGTAAGTAGATCCATGTGTGGAGAATGCTGGAAAATAGTCTGCTGAAAGGATTCCAATACCCTTGATTAAATATGGTATCAAAACCAAATGGCTGAGGAGACTTGTCCTCTGTGTAATAATTTAGGAATGCATCCATTGTGGTCAATTATCTTTAACATGATGGTGCTATAAGCATCGGAAAACATACTGTGTAAATGATACTGAGTCATACATGGAATGTTCCTAAACGCTATGATGAGAAGGAGTATCTCCCATTAGGATGTTATTTTCAACAGCAGTCCTGTGGATAGTATAACTAATCTGCTCTTTTGGATTATACCCTCGTCCAGTGACATATGCTTAATGTAATCAATCTGTAGAATTAATACGTAGCAATCTTTGAGCTAATAAAAGAATATGAAGTTCATTTTTAATTTATTCACCTTGTAGTATCTAAACAAAGTTCAAAAGATAGTTATTTGGAAAAAGTGAAGGTTGCCTTCTTGGACACTTAATAGGAATCCACTGTTTTGTAGTTAAATGCATATAGGAACAGGAAATAAAGATGCTTAAATCTTACTCTAGTGGCTAAATCCAGATAATGGAATTCTGATATTGAAATTAGTCACATCATAGAATACCATGCCTTGCAGTCCTTTCAAAAGAACAATTTATGGTTCCCTAACAATAATCTTCCCATGCTTATTGATGGACTCTCCTTGAGAATGTTTTACTCTGGTGGATATATTAAAACCATTGATATAATAGAGGGTTGATATTTGAAAATTGTAAATATATGCGGTTGTGATAATAGTATTCATTTAGTAAGCACTTTTAACATGATATTATAGAGTATAATTCAAAAGAAAAAAAACCAATTATACAATTAGGTCTAATAAAACTAATTTATAGGTTAACATGCAACCAGTATAGATATTTGCAATTACAACAAATCAAATGCAACCACTATATATATTTAACGGAAAGTTCTTCAGTATTAAACATCATACATATATGCATAATTAATATTAAACAATACACGATAAAATTAGAGTAGGGTAAAAGGCAGGTAGTCCATGACTTATGACCACAATTGGAACCAGAATTTCAGTCACAACAAATTTGGTTGTTACGTGAGTCATCAAATGACCAGGACAAATTTTACTGTCTTTTTTCCCATGATTGTTAAACAAATCACATGATCCTTAAGCAAATCTGACTTCCCAAATTAATTTTGTTTGTCGAAAGCCTGCTGGGAAGGTTGCAATTCATGATCACATGACTGCAAAATGCTGCAATCATTGTAAATGTGAGCCAGTTGCCAAGTACCCAAACTGTGACCACCTGATTGTGGGAATGGTTGTAACTTTGAAGAGAGGTCATAAGTCACTTTTTCTGACTTTGACTCTTGTAACTTTGAATCATGATTAAACAAATGGTTTGTAAGTCAAGGATTTTCTGTAACTGGGCCTTAAACTAACCCATTAATTAAAAAAAAAATCTTTTAAAAAAAATCCCAGAGTCTGGGGATTGCCACCTTGGAACCAGGAAGAGAAAGAAGAACCTACCTAGTGGAAGGAAAGAAGTGGAAGTTTTGAGGGAGAAAAAAAGTGTCAAGTGTTTGTGTGACCAGACAGTTGTAAATATAACCAATAGTTTGAACTGTGACTGGTTTGTTTAAGTATAGTACTTGAGTTAATAAAGATCCCTACACTGTAAGAAAACTGAAAATAACATGGAAGTTAATGCGCCGAAATAAGTTTTATTGCAGTCAATTTGTTCATATTTTTATCCCTGGAAGGAATACAGATTTTTCTGATTGCCATTTCTATCCCCTCCAGGAATGGATAATCAGACAGTGCTAGCTGTTCAGTCCTTGTTAGATGGCCAAGGAGGTGTTACAGATCCATCATCACAGACAGTCAACACATCTTCCTCCATCCAGTCCATGGGTGAGTCTCTCATTGGGACTTCTTCGTTGCTTCTCTTTGTGATGTGCAGTAACATAGTAATTGGTTCCAGTGTGTCTGTGAGTGTATGCATGCACTACTTCTTTGAATGCCCTCTGTATTCAAAGAGTTATATGATCCTGAAATAATATTAATGAAACCATTTTATATTCATAGCAATAGGGCAGTTAATTTGCTATGTATTGTCACCTTTTAGCATAAGATAGCAGTTTATTTGGTTTCATTCTCCCTATAGCTTTATTTTTTAACAGACACATATGCTGATTCAGGATAGTGTTTTCCCAGGACAGTTAGCAATTAAGGTGATAGTTTAAAAACACACAAAGACATAATATAAAAACATAATAACAAATACATTACTAAATAACTTTTATGTAGCACGTCCAATTCAAATTTATTCCAATTCAAATTTATTTATTTCTGAAACTGCTACTCAATTCTGCAATATGCTACTCTATTCCAAAAAGGCAGAGTAGTTTACCGCATTGTAATATATTATGATAAATATATTAAAAGACCTGTGACAATTAAAAAGTTTACTGCATTGTGTTGACAATAAAATAGATCCCAGAGCATTTCAGATTTGGAAAATTACCACTGAGAATGTCCATATCTGAGAAATTAGCTGCCACACTAAGGCATCCTGTAATGGCTAAAATCATACCAATTGGAGTTCTGTTCAAATACCATGGTGCAATACCGTGCAGGACCTTAAAGGTGAATATTTATCTCTTCAACTGCAATTAGAAAAAAAAACCTGAGACGAAGTAAAGATGACATAAAACTGGTATAATATGGTTATAACATCCAATTCCAGTCAGTACTCTTACTGCCAAATTTGGTGATAACTGAAGTTTCTGGATGGTTTTCAGAGGCAATCCAATATATAATGGATTGTGGCAATCTAGATGAGAGATTAACCAAGCATGGTTTATTGATATGTGACTGCATTTTAGTAGGATCATAGCTGTTGTTGCAATTTTAGCCAATGAAAGGTATTATGTGTGCCTGAGCCTATAGTGATAGAGATGAATCTAAAAGCATGTCCAGTTGGACATGTCCAGCATGTCCTACAAATTCAACCACTTAGGAGAATGTAGCCTTTTCTGAAACAGGTTGATTATTATGAGCCACCTACTGTTTCCAGCCTTTTCATGCTATGGTCGAATCACCTTGATAGTTAAGTGAGACATCGCATGATTGCCATGATTGTCCTAAGATGCTGCAACTGTCACTAATATATGTTTGTTGCCAAGTGTCCAAATTGCAGTCATGTGACTGTGGGGACAGCAGTTGTAAGTGCAAGGAATGGATTGTAAGCCACTTTTTTGCAGCATCATCATAACTTTGAACAGTTGCTAAATGGATAGTCATATATTGGGGACTTCAGATGGGGCTTGCTTTGAGAAAGCTAAGCATTCTCCTAACTGCAACTTGACGGTGTTTAGTTAATAATTTCTTGTCACTTTGTTCTGCTGAAACTCTGTGTCTTCTTGGGAGGAAATCTTTCAGGTTAAATAATTTTTTTTTTCCTTTCCCTGATTTCAGATGACGAAGATGTATTTCTCTGTGGGAAGTGTAAGAAGCAATTCAACTCATTACCAGCATTCATGACTCATAAGCGGGAACAGTGTCAAGGCAATGCCCCCTCACTGGCTACAGTTTCCCTAGCTACTAACAGTGTGTATACCCCGTCCATTACCTCAGTGCAGCAGGCTCAGACCACCAATCGTCAGGTAGAGATGCTGAATGTTGGAGCTTTTTGTGGTTGAGTCACCAGTTGTACCTAAGCATACCTGTGTACTAAACATGCCAGGGTTTCCTCTTATACTCCAAAGTCAGTCTCAGCATGTGTAAAACCTGTTAATGGCTGTCATCCATTATCTTAGAGCAGCAGCCCCCAATCAGCTGGCGGCAGGGGTGGGGAGGGGACATTCTGTGTCGGTGGCAGGCATGCATGTACATGCATGCTTGCCCATTGCTTGTGTATCTGGGTTCTGAACAGGCTGCGGCCTGGTAACGAGCCGCAGCTCAGAGTTGGGGACCCCTGCATTCGAGAGAAGTTGGTGACTATAATAGTGTGAAACAGAGGCAGTGGACTCAGAATGAGAATTGGCAGTGAGGATACCTGATTTCAAGCTTGTGTAATTTCCAGAATGGGTAGTCTTAGGGTTTTAATTTTGGGAAGACTGCAATAGAACATCTGAGATAAAAATCGGATTTCCTCCTGTTTAATGACTAATTGCCAGCTGAACAAACTTTTACCCTTTGTACTATGCTACATAATTTAATTGAAGAAGTTTATTCTCAAAATTTTGACTTTTACTACATCATTTCTTATACGGAGTAGTTGCACTGAATGAGTTGTTTTACTTTGTTTCTATGTGTTTCTGAAGAATTTTCTGAAAGGTTTCTTGCCTAATATCCAGTGTAAGATTTTGTTTTATCCATTTTGCTCAACAGATCTCTACTTACATTACTGTTCCACCCTCTCCTTTGATCCAAACCCTAGTCCAAGGGAACATCTTAGTGAGTGATGAGGTCTTAATGTCAGCCATGTCTGCTTTCACAACCCTGGACCAGCCAATGTCCACAGTGCAACCCACTGTGCAGGTAAATATTCTTTTTCCTGCCATTTAAAACACACACAAGCACTGACAAATAGAATGTGCTATAAAAACAAAAATCAATAAATGTATGTTGGAAAATAATGTTTAATGTCTGATGATCACATACTGTATGCATAATGTTGTGTAGTAGGGCTGGGCAGCAATCTGAAGGACAAAATGCAATTTGAAGCACAGGGTTGGCACACCCGTAAAATAGATTGGAAATATCTTAAACCATCCATCTATCCATTTATCATTCGTAGAATTGTGTTAATGTTGCTAAAAAATCTACACATATATGTGCGTGAACCAGGAGTTGACCTTGACTTGAGGCATTTTTTATCTTTTGTGGTCAGTTTCTTTATGTAATAATATTGTTATGTTGAAAATGTAAGCTGATACATTTATTCCTTAGAAAAGATCCCTTCATTATTAAATAAATGTAAATTAGGATTTGCATATACGTGAACTTTATAGCGACAGATTTATTTTGCTAGTATGCAGAAAAACATGGGTATTGATATTGATCTTGGTTAAAGAAGGAAAGCCAAAGTCTTCTTGCAACTATTGTTCCTATTTATGGACCAAAAAGGGAGGGAGGGAGGGAGGAAGGAAGACTACTTTCTCATTCTTTGTTTTTAGAGCAGCTTGAATATGCATCCTGGAGCAGGATACCTCTCTCAGCCTCCCCCACCCCCTCCACCCCCTCAGCCACCACCTCCACCACCTAGAACTCTTGGAGTGCCAGGCCCGGCCAATGCAGGTAGCAGTGGAGTGGCGGAAGTCTACAGTACATCTACCTCCATGCCTGGGAATGGGACGGTAGAAATACAGAATCTGGGGATGCAGCCATATCCACCTTTGGAGGTAAAAACGGCTGCCTGTCTTAGTGATTATATTCTTGCTTGTGATTATGACAGGTCTTATTGGCCTTTGTGAAATGACACTGTTTCTGATTTTACTCCATCTCAACATGCCATTTTTGTTGGTTTTCAGAGAGTGGCATAACTAAATGCACAAAGCTATATTATAATAGATGATAACTTTCTTCCTAAGGAAAATGGTTGTGAAATAGTTCCCAGTCTCCAAAAGAAGGAAATTAATTATGTTCCAGGCAGATTCTAAACTGAGAGATAAGTATTACTTAAATATAGTTAGCTGGGCCGCACATGGCCAGAAGGAGGAATATCATATATTGACCTACAGGTGTAGTAGACATTTATCCATGGAGATTTGAATGATTGTTGAATAAAAAAGTAAGATAAATTATACTTAACACACACAAATTTATCAATGTGTCCTGAAATGCCAACGCTAAATCAGGTGTTAAAGAATCTGACTTTCAAGAGATAAGAGATAACAGATTTACTGTACACACTCAGTATTGAGATTGAATAAAAAATTTCAGAAGGCTTATTATTCAGAAATTGTATTTAAATGGTCATTAGATTGTAGATTAGAATTAGATTATAGATTAGAAAATCTAGATTGTGCATGATTAGAAAAAACAATACATTATAGAAGAAATGAAAGTAATGTAACAGCAGAGAAAGGTCTCTACATTTGGCAAGATTGGTTTAGGTTATCTGCAACCTAACTGCAGTTAAATTGAATAAGCAACTGGTACTGACTTATGTTAACTACTGTAATTATATTTCAGGCTAACTATATTTAAGATTTATCAATATTTATCCAACACAGCAAATTATGATTAGTTAAAAACAGGATTAGCACCAGATTCTCCACATGGCCATACAAGAAGATGATGCAAATGTGTAAGCAATGCAGAGAGTTTGTAGTTTTCATCTGTAAGCAACAGAGCTTTGCTATGCTTCCTATTTCCAAACTTTGAGCTCACAATAGAAGTCAAGATAGCCTATTTCTCTTCTGTGTGATGGTTGGGAAGTCAGAAACGATGGAGCTTTGAATTATTGACATTTTTCTGTCATGTGTTATCACTGATTTCTGTTTTAGGTGCCCAGCCAATGTGTGGAAAACCCAGTATATCCCTCTCCTCCAGTATATAGTCCAAGCAAACAAAGCTTTAAGTCTAAAAATGCTAATGCTGCTGCTTCCTTGAATAATACATGTGGAGGAAATCTGACCAATTTTGATTCTGCTTCCAAGAATCGTCGTTCCAAACCGGACAATAACTTGCTTGAAGGTAGGTCTTCTTGCTACTTATTCTTGCTTTAGTCTAATTACATTTAAGTAAGACAGAATATGGAGTCCATGACACTGGAAGACTTGAGTGATATATTGTAAAGGGAAATCTATGATCCTCCAAGAATCCTGTGATTCGTGTACCCCAAAACCAACATGCCAATAATAATCAAGGGTGATAGACATGTTGTCCGTAAACCTCTGGAAGGGCAGATAACCCAAATACTGGTTACTAGAATCCCGAGGACTCATTTTTTTATAGCTATATGAAAATGCTAATGTACTATTTCCTATTCAATAGTGAAACATGTGAAATAGAAGCTTCACTTCATTAGCTTCTAATTGATGTACAAGATGTCTTTATTTGGAAGATGTAATAAAATATGTAAAATATGTTTTGGATGATACAGGAATGTGAAACTTTGGTTTGTTACATATTTCATAAAATTCCGAAACATTATGTAGCTATTGTGTTCTCATTATAAAGAAGGAACTAACAGCCATATGGTTGAATGGGCTCATTTTGTTTTTACATTCAGGTTATTTTTAGAACTGGTTTTTTTATTTTCTTTTTGATTAACAAATCAGGTTGAATATATGTTGAGATAGATAGATAGACAGACAGACAGACAGACAGACAGACAGACAGACAGACAGACACACACTAGAAATCCATGTCCTGTACTCAGGAAATCACATTTAGACCTCACAAAATTTATGTTTTTCTTGTCATTTTGTATAGCACATTATTAGAATATTGGTTCAGCCTTAACCTTTTCAGGAAGCCAAATATATTCATTGTAATCCACTAATATGGATCACTACGACATTGTAACCAATGAAAGCTGAGCTATTGTTTTGATGTTGTAGGAAATGTTGCAGTGCCATTCCTTCATTAGAAAGTATGAAAAATCCAGTGTAGGTAGGAGACGCCAATGTGGCAGTTCTTTCCTTTACCAAGATTAATGCAATCTCAATTAAAGTGATATAAGCATGAGATGTAAAGCAGAAAGTTACCCATGAAAACAGAAAATGAAAATAGTGGTTTTACATTCCTTCCACGTAACATCATTTTGTTGGATTTTCCCACTATTTTCATTCTATTCTTCCCATAAGGCAATGTACTCAAACTCCCTGCAGCACTTCCATTCCCCAAACTTCATTCTAGTTTGATGGGTAGTGGACAAGCAAGAATCTGCAGCAGGATGGCCTTTTTGACATAAATTCATGCTTGTTTTTTGCTGTTTGCATTTCAGGAAAGCCCAAGTCACCAAAACTGAAATGTACATACTGTGATAAAGCCTTCACCAAGAATTTTGATCTGCAGCAGCATATCAGGAGGTACTGTTGAGCTTCCAAAATCGGACAGAAGCAGTGTCTATTTGGACAGGCCAAGGACTTGATTGGATATTCTGAGCAACAATTGGAGCCATTCTTACTTGCTGGCAAGAGCTATGGAAAATAAAGCCATCTCTCTGCTTGGTCAGTGTGATCCCCCAAATGTTGAACACTGGTCTCTGTATGGTGTATGTGTGAAACTTAATCTTGGTTCTGATTGCTGAACCATCAGGTCTTTCAGAGCCTCAAGGGATAACAAAATTTTGCACCTATTATTAAGACAGGATTTGTTTTATTATTATTGGATAAATAATTATGCCTGATAGACCCATAACTCTAAACTGCAGTAGGAGAGAAAGATACAGAGTTGTACCATTTTAGGATACAGATGAGCGTTTGTAGGATTTCATGTTTCTCCAGGAAGATTCTTGTCACATGGAAAAACATATCTCAAAACAACGTCTCTTATCTGTCCTCCCTGAAGGAGTAGGTAGGGTTTTTATGTATTCATGTATTATGTCAAAGTTGCTTGTGAAGGAGCTTTCCAGTCATGTAAATTCCTATCTATATGCAGTTTGGAATGCAACTAAATTGTAGTTATGAGCCAGCTGGAAAAGTGTTCAGTATTAAAAGGATAGAGGAAATTAAAGTAAATGAAATACATAAATGGTGGATTAACTTGCTCACTTAGAAGATTGTGTCTCCTCCCTGAATGCTGAGAGAGGAAACATCCTAAAAAAAGATGAAGCCACAACAGTGAAGATTGCGGTCAAGTGCACTAGTAATATGTTTCCCCCTCTATTGAGATATTATAATTCCTGTTCTCTCATGTAGTGTCTATTTTTCCTTCAGTCATACCGGAGAGAAGCCATTCCAGTGCATTGTGTGTGGTCGAGCTTTTGCGCAAAAATCCAATGTGAAGAAGCACATGCAGACACATAAGGTGTGGCCACCAGGAATTGGATGTACCATCTCTCGGAGCTCTGTCACTGTGCAGGTCATGCAACTCAACCCCAACCAGCAGGAGGATGAGGAAAATGCAGGTGCATTATTACTGTAATTGCTTGAATGGTCAATCATATGGGCCTGCTTTCACCAAACCTCTGAATAAAAGTGCTTCTGCTATTCTGTTTTATAGATTTATAGATGGAAGGGTTAGAAAAATAACTGCTGTGTACTGGTGGTTTAAGTATGTGTTAGCATATGAATCTATAAATCAGATATTCAGCTGTTATGATCTTGCTCAGTCATAGCCCTTCGCTTAATATTGTTTCATACTCTTGTAATTCTTAATCCTTTTTCAAACTTTTTCTTCACTTGTGGAACCTGTAATACCGATTCCCCCCCCCCCCTTCTATGGACTAAAATTAGATGTATACTGAAAATCAGGCATCTATCTTCAGGAAGAGATATCCAAATGAGCCTTTAGATACCGGTATAATTGCTTTAATTGAAGATGATTTTGGCTAGTAATTATGAGAATTGGAATCTGCAGAGCAACAGATTAGAAAGCCCATGTTAGATGTATTCCTGAAACAGAAATTGTGCATCTAGTGCTTGGGTGTGTGGTATCACTAACTTCTTAAACATCTGTGCTGCTGGCTATGGACGATCATAAAAAATTGTGGACAATGATCCATGCACATCAAGCCTTTTGCATATTGTGTGAATGTAACTGCTTGGGCTAAGATGAGTTGTACATACCAACTGGTTGATAGGCAATGAGAAGATTGGTAAGGGCCAAACTGTTTTAAGTTATAATTGGGCTCACCAAGGCAAAAGTTGGAACTTACATAACAAAACAAGCCTAACCGTACAGAATGAATCTTATGTGGTAGAGAATATTTGTGTTACTTTAGTCTCCTCTGCCCACATAACAAGTCTACGACTTCACCAAGGACTAATTGCTTCATTGCTTGAGAATATGAGAGGAGCACTTTAAAAATAATATAATCCAGTCAATAATTTATTTCCACAGTGACGGAATAGATATCAGTGCACCACCTGAACGGAGTTCACAAGTACAGTAAAGTCCCTATCTAGTGTTCTTTAGCAGCCGCCAATATCAAGCATATCCCTCCAATACTGGAGATAATATATAAGATTGGTGGCAAGAGTTCTTCTGACTTTAAAGTGAAATTGAGCATAGGTGTTATCCTCAATCTTAATAAAGAATGAAAAACAAAGATACACAAAAAAGGAAATCTAATTTCCATGGTTTTGCATCTTGGAAAAATAATTTATATTAATTCTATTTTGCTGATTTTGTTTGTAATCTTTTCGAAAGGCTTATTTCCCTTGAAATGCTTGCAATTGAAATTAGTATTTCTGTGTTCTGCGTTTTTTTTTTTTCCTTTAGGCTTAAACCAGGCTCCAAGAAGTAGCCCTCCACAGCCTCAAGCCCTGCCTCCTGGGGAAGAACATGACACGGCAAAGATGGAAGCCAAGCAAGTAGTCTTGATAGACAGTTCTTATCAGTGCCAGTTCTGTCCCAGCAAATTCAATACATATTTTCAGCTGAAATCACACATGACTCAGCATAAACATGAACAGGTAGATAGTTCATCATGAGATGGCTTCATTCTGTCATATCTAGCTTTTTACCACTTTTCCATGAGCTGCAGTCCAATGCATGCGTACTTCCAAGTTTGGACAATCTAGGTTTCAAAACTCACATGCAAAATGTTGGCTGTTTTGCCAACTGTTTTATCTTTAGCCTATACAGTTTAAAACATAAAATTATACTCTATGATACTCAATTATACTCAATTCTGTTTAATTGGCTACTCACTGATTGACAAAAACTCTACGATACTAGGTATGGGAATTGTAATACACACACACACACACACACACACACACACACACACACTGTATTCTTGACATTGTTCTTTGGATCCAGCATAGGAATTTTCTTCTACGCATATTTTAATTTAGCGTTAGAAATCTGTGTTGAATAGATAACACAATGTATTCTACACAAGCAACTCCACGGAATCTAATTCACAGATGTCTGATAGTTGAAATACATTTTTCAGTTATATTGCCTTCATATTTTTTTCCACTGTGTAAAAACCAAACATTTCCATTTTTGTGTGCATGAATTATTATTCTGGGCATATTCAGTAAGTCATTGCTCGGAGCCTATGTTTGATTGCAGGACATTCCAGTTTTCATTCTTGGAATTTCTAAAGAGATAGAGAACAAAAATTCTGCTCCAAATTCTAGAGTGCCATTGCTAGTGTAGAAACTATTCTAAGCTAGATGGTATCAGCCCATATCAGGGGCCGTCCTAGGTTTTTTACTGGAAGGAGACAAATCTAGAGGCAAATCTTATGCACCGACATGACGTGTAACCTCCGCAGGGAAATAGCTTTGTATTTTTTCCATAAGGAAGAATTGAATGTTCACTGCAAACTTCCAGGAGAGGCTGACTGGAAGAAGAGAAGTTAAGAGTAATTCATTGTCTAGGGACATAATACATAGCTTTCACTGTGAGTGGGTACATCTCAGAGGAACCTTTAATTACATTTATACATTTAATGCTGAGAGTACAGTACAGTTTGTTTGCTTTTGGTGGCGCAGAATAATGCTGATTTGAATTCTCTTTTCTTACCATTAATGTGCAGGTGTACAAATGCGTTGTGAAAAGTTGTGCCCAGACATTTCAAAAGCTGGACTCTTTCTTAGAGCATATCAAGAACCACCAGGAAGAGCTGAGCTATCGCTGCCACCTCTGCAGCAAGGACTATCCTTCTCTGTATGAATTGGGCGTCCATCAATATTCCCACAACTTGCTCCCTCAACACAGCCCTAAGAAGGACATGGCAGTTTACAAGTAGGGTAGAACTGCAAATAGTAATATTTCTAATCTGTTTGGGAGGGGAAAATTAATGAAAAGAATGAAAAATGATATAATTCAAACTTGATGGTATTAATACATCAGGTAATCATTTAAATTGTGGATTTGCTGTTGAATGATTTGGTATTTTCCTTTTAAAAAGTAACAAAATCAAACCCCACTGTGAGCATAATAACCTCCTAGATTGAAGAAAATATATTTCATAAATATTGATGTAGAACAATGGTGGAATTCAATCTTTTTTACTACCGGTTCTGTGGGCGTTGCTTGGTGGGCGTGGCAGGGGAAGGATACTGTAAAATCTCCATTCAGAGGTGATATTTGCCGGTTCTCTGAACCTCTAAATTTCCGCTACTGGTTCTCCAGAACTGGTCAGAAGCTGCTCTACACCTCTGATGTAGAGATTATGTTTTTCTATTTATGGCATACCAGAGCTATAAGATGAATAAGTTTTTAATCCATTCCATAAGCTTTCATCTGGCAATTGTGAACCCAGACATTAGGCAATTACGCATTTATTTTTAAGCCTTTATTTCCTTCAAGGATCTCTTAAGTCTTTTCCTGTTTGAAAATGCTTTTTGAAAATGCTAGCTGGCAGACTTCAGTCATACTAACACGTTCTTTCTTTCCTTAGGTGTGTCAAATGTGTAAATAAATATTCCACACCAGAAGCCCTGGAGCATCACTTACAGACAGCAACACACAACTTCCCCTGTCCTCATTGTCAGAAGGTAGGCAGATACCTTAACAGTAAATTGACTTTCTGGAGTAATAAGCAATTCTATAATTTAATCACCTAGTATAGCAAAATTTTGTCCCCTTATTCTTTCATGTTTATTTCATAGTTTGTTTCTCAGGCTTTAGAATGAGAAAAGGGAGTCATGCCCAACATTGCTTATGTAGTCACGCTTTTGTATAGTAGATGCACACTTAGGTCCGGTTGCATTGTGTCATCTGTACTGCAGAGGATGCTATGGAAATTCCAGCACCTGAGTTCTCACAATTATCTTCTTCCAGGCATAACATACTTTCTGTCCTGTGGCTCATTCCCTGAGGCAAGAGCTATCCATGGAAGGGTGTTTTTTTTTAATAGCTCACTTGATTTATGGTAGTAAAGTCTTTGTCTCACTTATTTTAGAATTTTACTGTATAGATTAGTTATACATACCCATTTCCTTAGGGAAAGAGTAGGAAATCTGTAGACCCTGGACCAAAAAGAGCCCTTGAGGCCCTCAGAGTATCCATCTAACCGTAACTGATGAAAAGTGATGAAAGTATTCTGCCATCAATTAGTGTCTATTTCTTGAGCTGAGAAATAGATGAAAACTGTAAAATAAGCCCCTAAGATAAGGCTTTCCATGTTGAAAAGTGAAGACAACCCTGAAACTTTCTAAAATTCATCCTTGTCCACATTTGAGATATGACCTCCCCATTCACTTTTTAGATTCAGTTTCTCAACAAAAAGAGCAAACTGTAGCCACAAAATAGTGCCTCCTCCTGGTCTGACTGGTATTACTATCCTTTTAAATGCCCTTGATCTTAACCAGAGTTTCAATGACATGCCTTCTTTTTACAGGTGTTTCCCTGTGAGAGGTACTTGAGAAGGCATCTGCCTACGCATGGAGGAGGAGGCAAATTTAAGTGCCAGATCTGCAAAAAGTTCTTCCGCCGAGAACACTACCTCAAATTACACGCACACATTCATTCGGGTAAGAAATGGCAGAAATCAGTTTCCAATCTGTTGAACCAATTCGTTTTCCAAAGTTCTCCTGTCATCAACTTCAGTGGTGGCTGATATCTTTACATTTGCTGGGTTTTGCCTCCCTATTAGAAAAATCGTGTTCACTTAGCAATCTTCTTAATTTCTGTCTGATGGATCACTACTTTGATTGGAACCATTTGAATATTAATTATTTTAATTAAGTTTCTGTTACCAGGAATAGAAAATGACTTATTAGAATGCTTTTTAATCAAACTCATGTATGTCTTTATTGCTGAATTTATACCTCTTTCCTGTGCAGGTGAAAAGCCTTTTAAGTGTTCAGTGTGTGACTCAGCCTTCAACAGGAAAGATAAACTCAAAAGGCATATGCTGATCCATGAGCCTTTCAAGAAATACAAATGCCCATTCTCGTAAGTATCAGAGGACCCACAGCAACGCTAGCTTCATAGACAACAGTGGATTACTTAGATATTGGAAAATAAAATGACGCAAATAATTAGCAGCTTTTTGAACAAATGCATATAAAGGAGATGAAATCGTCTTATTTTTATTGACCCTGGGGTTGGCTAGAAGTTCCCAAACTTTCTCAGTTCATAGCAGAATTCCCAGGGATTCCCAACTTGTGGGCTGTGACATTCTCACTAACAACTCCATTTATTAAATAGTGAAGTATCCCATTATACATCTGTGCATAGTTTGGGTATAGCAGGATTATGTCTTTTGTACCAAGGTTACTTGTTTAAAAAAGCTCTGGTCACACATTGAGTTGTTACACTAAAAAACAGTTTTGAAATGAAAAGAAGACAAAATTGAGAAAAAATGTGGTTTATGCAGGGGGTTGATGCTTTTGTAAGGCGCTTCCAGTTGGCACTATTGCACATCATCTCATACTTAACTATAGACCTGTGAGTTTGTCAGTAGTCTCCTGTAGACCTACCATTCCAAAGCTCTCATTATACTGAAAATATTGTTTCTGTTGAATTCGGCTTTATCTGACTTCTCTACCTCTTCCCATTCCTGGCTTGATTGAGCAACTTTGACTTTCTTAAATGGTGCAATAAAGTAGCATAGTAAAAACAACCTGACTTGGAAGCAGATTATTCACTGTGATAATCTTTTATTCTTTCTGCCTCTTTAATTAAGGATCAATATGCAGTTCTTTTTTGTTGTTTTGTTATTTTTTCAGTGTACTTTTCAAAAACATAGTGAAGGAGAAACAGAACAAAATTATTTCCATCAATAAGTAGGAACTTTATTCTTGCAGCAGAAGAGAATATAAGTAACTCAGGGTAGAACTGTAGGGTTCTTGGTGCTCTCTTTCTGTACCAGACATTATCATTGTGAGGGAAAGTAGCAAACTACTCTATAAAGTCCTTATTTAGCAATCATTCACAGTTATGATGGTGATGAAAAAATAACTTTACAACCAGTCCCCACATTTACGACTTTTGGAGGTCTGTAAAGCAAAGTAAAGCTGAAGTAAGATCATAAGCAGAGTCATGATTTCAGTTAGCAATCACTTAATGACTTGAATTGCTGGTCCCAATTGTGGTTGCTAAACAAGGACTATCTGTATATATAAAACAACTAGCAAATCTCACTGTCTTTTGTGCTGATGATGTTACATAGCATGAAAATAAAATGTGTGCAAGGAAACAACCAAGCTCAGAAAGTACCAAGAACTCAATACTTCTTTCTTGCTATAGCAAAGGGTTTGATCATTTAAACTTATAACTTGCTTCTACTAAGATGACTATTACTGTGTTAGTGTAGCAGAATTATCTGTTCAAATAACGATGGTCATACAGATGTTTTAATAAATGACTAATCTTAGAACTGGCTCTCTGCATCACTTTTTTTGTTATTCAGAAATCATACAGGCTGCAGTAAAGAGTTCAATAGACCGGACAAACTGAAAGCTCATATTTTATCCCATTCAGGTATGTGGAATTATTGCTTTTGATTTGGCTCAGTACTGGAAATAATTATAATTAATGTATTGAATGTTAATAAAGCATTTAGAGTTTGTTTCTTAACTTCAGTGAAGAGTAGAAGCAGTGCAACTCAGCCCTAACTATTTATGTTTTCCCTTTTTGAGCTTTGAATCAAAAAATCTAATTCTAGCTACCATGGGGACTGAATTAACCATTTCACATTGAATTGTTATGCCAGAATCTATTCCCAACAGCCAAATATAGCAAAACCCTCAATAAATATCTATTCAATGTAGCTGAGTTTTCATGGCTTCCTATACAAAATATGGTTTATATCACCAGTGTAATTATATGGAATTGATCTAGAGTCACTAAGAAAGTGTTCCATAAAGTTTTAGGTTCAAATCTTGCTTCATCCAGAAAAGTATTAATTGGATATAGATGAGGCCTACAGAAACTTTTTATATCTAAGCTGTTCGTTGTATTCTCCCATTTTTAGGTATGAAGATCCACAAGTGCCAGTATTGTAACAAAGCCTTCAGCCGGCGAGCTCATATGATGGAACATCAGCGTTCTCACACTGGCAACTATAAATACCGTTGCTCTACGTGTAGCAAAGGCTTTACTCGCCAGAAGTACATGAAGGACCACAAATGTAGGCTGAACTCATCAAAGGATAAAGAATTACCAGTCAGAAAATCTCAGAAGAAGTGGGGGGCACGTGGGCGGAAATTGGGACTTCCTCTTTCAGCTCAGTTGGCTTTCACAGAACTCAAAGACCCTACAGGTGGAGAGAGCCTTCAGAAAAGTAGTCCCAATAAAGAACAGTTTTCTGAACCTGACACTGTTCTCTCCATTGTGGTTGGCAGATCAGCAGCAAATTCAGACAGTGGCAACTCTGGCCAGCATTCTGGCATCTCACCCAACCTTGCTCTGACAGAATTGCAACCTGGCTCTGAGAGTCCATGTGCCATGCTGGCAGTCCCTGTTTACATTCACACTACTGACTAATTGACAAATGCAATGCTGCATCCATTTATAGGAGGGAAAGTTCCTGTTTTAACTGATACAAAAGAACTGCTGCAGAGTGAGAAATGAATGGCGTATATGTACAAATGTTTGGCTTCACCGATGCAGAGAACAACATTCTTTTAAAGAAACATATTACAAAGTGCAGTCATTCCTCTCCTTATCTGGATGAATTCATTTGAAGAAGCTGTTAAAAACGAATAGGAATAATTTATATTCTTTTTATTTAAAGATACCCGGTGCTTAAATATTCATTCAAGTTCTTGAACTCCAAATCTAGATCACCACAACATTGTTTCACTTTTCTTGATTTAATTTTATTGTTTCATTATGGAGCACTTACAGCAAACGGTGATGACACCAAAATGACAAAACGTGAAAGAAAATGTTATTGTGCAAGTATTATATACTTGCATCCTGACCTCTGACACAAATATGCAAATTGTGAAATTTCCATGATGATGCCATCACTTGCACTCCTAGAACTCCATGTATGGTTCTGTCCTAAACTCTACATTGCACTTTCAAGATGAAGGTTTATTCATAACATGATCCTTTGAAAACTTCACAGACTTATTCATAGAAGTATTTTTTTTACCATTTCCCTTTCTCAGGGTATATCGGAATGGGGAAATTGTATACAAACACAGTTGACAAGTTAAAGCTGGAGCCCCCCTCCCCCCCCCTCCAAATTTTCTCAGATTTGCTGATACTAAGCAGCTTTGGAAATAAATACATCTGAACATATGATTTTGAAACAGGGGAATATCATAGGAATTTAGATTTCAAAGGAAAATGTGACTCTTTCAAGAGTTGAAGGTTGCTAAATTTGTACCTGCTAAGAAAAAACTGGGAAAGGGGACAAAAGGGAGGAAAGCCCAGCATGAACTGTAATGGTGTTCATACTCTTTTCCACCCATTTGTAACACCACAGTTACTACATTTAAGAAGAGAGCTTTTTAAGGCAGTTTTTCTCAACCTCATGCTGGCTGGGTAATTCTGGGAGTTGAAACCCACATGTCTTAAAAGTTGCTGAGGTTGAGAAACAGTACTCTAAGGTACTTTACCAGTAGGCTCAGTGACAAGGCACTTGTGGAGCATTGTAGCTTGATCTTCTTGTGTCTCACAAACGCTTGATAAAGGGAAGCAACTGGTAGTGAAGGATAGCCTCCTAGAATGGGGACCATGTTCTTCAACCTGAGCGAGTAGTTGCTTTGGGTTTATTAAAATACCAGATTGAGATAATAAGTATGAATGATATTAATTTAATCAGTGAGAGAATTATATTAATTCCAATGGATTACTTGTGCTGATGTTACATTTTATGTTATTTTTTCCCCGAGATGTCCTGTGGTTATGGTATCCAAATCCAATTGTTCTTGAGCGTATGCTGTCCATAAGCTTCTGGAAAACATGCATTCTGTGACATTAGATTGTTAAATCTTTGAGTCAGAATTTTTGGGCTTCTGTGTACTTATTTTTATCTGAAATTGTAGAGTGTCTGTTACAGCCACAGGAAATGAGAGAATTTGATTTGACTTCAAGAGAGGTAACTCAAAACCGTGATCCATGGGCATGTATGAAGGATCTCTTATTTAAGCAGCTTTTCAATCTGCATAATGGCATTGGTGTGACTCCTAGCTGTTTCTATGTATGTGTACATATATTCCACATGTGTGGGGACAGTTGGAAGCAATTTCTAGAGAAACTATGTTGCGCAAAACACATTTACAAGTCACATTCAAGAGTATACCATATCAGTCTGTTGAAAGTGAATCCTTATTTTCAACTGTCATTGCACATTAGAATACCAAGAACATAAGGGGCTGGCATCTTCATTAGGCATCTCCATTGATCTGGTTTCCTTATACCCACTGATGCTTCCACAATGACCGTGAAGATAATACAGAGAAGTGATATAAGTTGCTTATCTGGTTTCAGAGTTTTAGTTGCAGTAATTTGCCTCTGGATTTCTCCCAAAAACAAGGTTGTACTTCCAGCACAGAAGATAAGCCAATATCAATGTCTTTCTCAACAAAATTTGTTATGTCACAGAATAAAAACTAGAAATGCACTAAATTATCTCTATTCCAATATTACAGATTTTCAGATATTGGTAATTCTTGTCAGTTGTATAATTCCTTGAGGCTTTCTTTAAGGAAAATGTTTTTCTAAGATTCCCCCCTCCCCAATAAGTTTAAGTGACGTTTGCTGAGGGTCGGGATTACTATGTATATTTTTCTCAATTACCTTGTTACCATAAATAACACTATAATTATGTTGTTACCGCATCCTGTTGTCTGCAGTTGCCTTTTGATGATGTGTATAAAGCAAGGCTAGTCTGCCTGACCATGGAGTGTTCTTTTACATTAGGTCTTTTTGAAGTGGCATTTTTCAAAATGATCCAAAAGAGTATGTATCCTTTTGAATTCTCTAGATGCAGTATTACAAAAATGAGATTGGGAGGAACAAACGATCCAAAATCAAGTGAAACATTTAAGCCATCAGCACAAGATCTATAGGTCAATGTCAACCCAAGAGGGAGGTTGACGACCAAACACATTCAACCTAAATTATCATTGGTATCAGATTATGCCCAATATTAACCTGTTATTGAGTTAATCTGCTTAACTCATTCTTTGCATCAGTCTTCATACAAAAATAAACTATAGCCCAGGGGTCTTCCAGGGGTCCTCCAGTCATGTTAGCTCAGGAATTCTGGGAGTTGAAGTCCACAAGTCTTAAACTTGCCAAGTTTGAAGACCCTTGCTATAGCCCAACCTACCAAAAAAATAACTAAAATGCAGACTAGAAATAAAAATTAAACAAGAAAATAGTAAAGAGAACACACGTCTGATTTTGATGAATTCACTGGAACCTGACTGATTACACTCCAGAGTTCTGAAGGAACTCAACCTAACATCAATATGTGAAAAGATACTGGAAAATATAATAAAAAACAGATCTATGAACATCTTAAAACAAATACTGTAGTTATAACTAGAAGCCAGCACAGGTTTGTTAAAAACAGGTCATGCCAAACCAATCTTACTTCATTCTTTGACAAAGTGACTAAATTAGTAGACCAGCGAAATGCTGAGGACATAGTATACTTAGACTTCAGTAGGGCATTTAACAAAGTACACCACAACTTACTTCTTGGTGAGAAAAATGTGGCATAGACAGCATCACCACCAGATGGATTTGTAACTGGCTGACAAACCATACTCAATGAGGAGTCCTTAAAAGTATTACATCTGCATGGAAGGAAGCAATGGGGTATCACAAAGTTCTATTTTAGGCCCAGTACTTTTCAATATCTTTATAAATAATTTAGTTGAGGGAATAAAAGAGGAACTCATCATATTTGCAGATGACACTAAACTGGCAGGAATAGCCAATCCCAGAAGACAAGCTCAGAATCCAAAAAGATATTGACAGACTTGAATGGGCCCTCCAACAAAAAAGGTACAAATAAAGATTAGGCAAAACCTGGCTCAAAAACAAAAACTTGTAGTCCTGGTGGTCAATCACTTAAACATGAGGCAACGGTGCGGCAGCAGCCAAAAAAGCTTATATCCTTGGTGGTATAAACATAGAATGAAAATCACCTGAAGTATTAGTACCACTTTATAAAACCTTAATATAGAATAGGATAGAATACCTTTACTGTCATTGCATTCTACAAATACAATGAAATTTGAAAGACCATACCTGAAATACTGCATCCAGTTTTAGTCACCACATTACAAAAAAAATGTTGAGATTTTGGAAAAAGTGCAGAGAAGAGCAAATAAGATAATTAAAGGCTGGAAACTAAAACATTTGAAGCAGTTCTGGGATTGGGTGTGACTAATCTAGAGAAAAGAAGGACTGGGGTGATATGATAGCAATATTCCAGTATTTGAGGGCTGCCACGAAGAAGAGGGGGGCAACTTATTTTCAAAAGCACTAGAGGGCAGGACAAGAAACAACGGATGGAAAGTAATCAAGGAGAAAAGCAAGCTGGAATAGAGGAGAAACTTCCTAACTGTGAGAACAATTAACAAGTGGAACAGCTTGTTTTCAGAAGTTGTGGGTGCTTCATCACTGAAGTTTTTTAAGGAAAGATTGGACAGCTACCTATCTGAAATGGTATCTGTCTCCTGCTTGAGCAGGTATTGAACAAGAAGACCTCCAAGGTTGCCTCCAGCTCTATTCTAAATTGAAAAAAAAACATAAAATCAGTTTTTAAAATTTATTATAGTTTAAAACATTTTAAAATACAATGAGTATTTCAGTACTTTCATCCTTTTTTATATCAGGGGTGTCAAACTCACGTTCTCACGGTGTCCTTATGTGATGTATTGGATCTTTCTCCCCCTTCGCTAAACCAGGCATGGTGGGGGGGGCATGGCCAGTGCATGACACATCCGGCCTGCATGAGGCCCTGCTTTATATCATTCTCCTTAATCAATTTAAGAAAAGAACCAATCCCACTTGCATCAAGTTTTTCCTTTTCCTCACACTGAAAAAACAGGCCATTTCAGGCTTGCTACGCATGAGGTGAATCTGTTGTTTGGCCTTGTGGAAACAATTTAGGCTGGTATTTTCTATGTGTTTTAGACTTTTAATACTGACCAGCATACTAGTGATTGTGAGAGTTGATTAAAACATCTGGAAGATAGTGAGTTACATATTGCCAACTTAGTCTATGGACATAGCACCTCTGCCTATTGGATTTGTAGGAAAGCAGCATTGTCAGTTGAACACTAGGAAGTCGGCAGAGAACATTTGGGGTCATTGTTCTCTTTCACATCTACTACTGTCTACATGTCTGGCAGCTATGAGGAATGAGTAATGTTACAATAACTATTTTTCAGTGGTAGTTTTGATACCAAATTCAAAGTTACAGACAATTCAATGTCTGCAGTAATGACAAATTGATTTGTCATTACTCATGATTTGATTGATATTCACCTTCTCATAGGCTAAAGTCAGCACACAGATATAGAGGCCACAGTCAAAATAACTTAAAAGCAGCAGGCTATTTGCAAACATTAATAAATACAGTACAGAAAGTAACTAGCAATTTGATTGTTTAATTACTTGTTGATGAGTGGTAGAAGGAACAGTTGAAAACCTAGCTAATTTTCCACTGGTGTATGGTTTGACAGAGCAAAAAACATACATGGATGAAAAATATACATAATATTCATCAGATTTTCCTGATAGATTTACACAGCATAGATATCAATGGATAATGTGTACCAGAGTCAGGGGATTATCATTTTTCATTTCAATTGAACTATGCAGCAATATAGTACAGTACTGAATGAAGAAAATCTTGATTTCTGAAGCAGCATTGATGGCAGAACATTAGAGCATACCAACAAAACGGCCCTTTGTTGATTGAAGGCTAAAATATTTTAAAATTTCCATATTCTCAAAAGTCAAAGTCATGTGATAGTCAAATGAAATGGGCAAGATAGCATGTTTGGAAACCCTTACATAAAAAACAGTGAAATGGTCTAGAAAAAATACACAGCAAGCAAGGGCACAAGACATAAGCATCAAGAGCATCCTTTTTGTTTCTTTTAAAAATAGTATTCTCTCAAGCCTCAGAAAAAAACCAGAGAAAAGTCTTTTAAACAAACGCCGTTTTTTTTTTTTTAAAAAAAAACCTCTTTGAAGCACGTTATTTATGTTGTGATATCTGGCTGCTGTATAAACGGAGAACTTCAAAATCCATACGTTAAAAAAACGAGGCTACTAGTCAACGATTTTATGGATGAAACTATCACCGCGACTCAGAAACTGACAACAGTGTATGTCTAAGCACATTCGTGCAAGAGCATCCCTTCTCGAGCAACACTACAATTCCCGGCAGCCTTTGCTGCTTATTTACACCCACTTGAGCCGAGAGGCAGACGGAGGTGGGCGGGGTTACCGCTGTTGCCACAGCTCCCCGAGTGACGTATGGGATAGTGGGCAGTTCTACTCCGGGCCGTGAATCAGTCGCGGGGGTGGGGGAAGCACTTGGGGTGGATGCGCTGCCGAGGGCTGGTGCAAGAGAGGGGTCAGTGTCGGGCCTTTGGCCTGTGCGGCTAACTAACCCGGCTGACGGTTCGAGGGGACCGCAGGGATCACCTTTCTCTGCCACGACCACCTCTGCATCTCGGGAGCAACCAGCATCCTCCTCCTCTCCCTCGTTTCCTTACTTCCTCCGGGCTGGGGTTCTCGGTTCGTTCCCTCTCCTCGCGTGAGGTCCAGCCATGTCCGGGCTGCTGGGGAAGTTGTTCGGGATCGGCCCGGGGGAGAAAGGCGGCGGGAAGGGCCCTTCTCCCCAGGAGGCCATCCAGAGGCTTAAAGAGACCGAGGACATGCTGGGTAAAAAACAGGAGTTCCTGGAAGAGAAGATCAAGCAGGAGCTGTTGGCGGCCCGCAAACACGGCACCAAGAATAAGCGCGGTGAGTCCGGCTGATCGGAGCCATGGAGGAATCCCATCTCGCGTTTGTGGGTGGACTCGGATGAGGTGAATTTGAACGCCCTCCTTGGATGGTCAAGCGAGCGGGTAGGGTAGTATAAAAGGTGGACCGTGTTCTGTGTTTTTACTCGGGAGTAAACCTGTGCATCTTATAGGTAGGTGAGTAAACATTTGCATCTTTTAGGTAGGGGAGTAAACATTTGCATCTTTTAAGTAGGTGAGTAAACCAGTGCATCTTTTATGTACACTGAGAGCATTTGCACCAAGACAAATTCCCTGTGTGTCCAATCACGCTTGGTGAATATAATAAATATTCTGTTCTATTCTATTCTATTCTATTCTATTCTATTCTATTCTATTCTATTCTATTCTATTCTATTCTATTCTATTCTGTTGGTAGGGTCAGAATTGTGGACATTGTAGGCTTTCTCCAGCTGCCCCTTTGGCCTCAAAAGTTATGGGATGGAATGGTTGCAATCGAGAAGGATTGCAGAAACAAAATGCACTAACATCAGTTAGCACAGAAGAGCAAAATTTTTGAGAGAAGTTTCTACTGTTTCTGAAATTCGTGATTGAGGGAGCAACCTTTGATTGTAAGGTGCAAGTCTCATAATGAAAAGCACCCTACTTAGAATGGTTCTTTTATTCACATCTCAATAGTATCTTGAGTGTTGGATGTTCAAATAATTTTGAAGGGACCTCCCCCCCACTCCAGTAGCATCCAGGGCACAACAGGTGTCTGGGGAATATTGTGTAGAGTTGTAATATATATATAAACACTTTGAATTTTTAGAATCTCTTACATTCTGTGTACGGTAGGTGTGTAATCAACCATTTTATAATGCTTTTAGTTGATTTGTCTCTTTTATTATCATTGGTGGCATCTCATTTTTGACCATATTCATTCCTAAGCATTAAGTCTGTTGGTTAAGGCATCAGGCTAGGAATTGGAAGACTGAGTTGTAGTTTTGCCATAGGCATGAAAGCCTGCTGGGTGACTTTGGGTCAGTCACTCTCTCTCAGTCCAACCCACCTCACAAGGTTGTTGCTGTGGGAAAATAGGAGGGGGAAAGAGTGTTAGGTATGTTCATCACTTTGAGTTATTTATAAAAAATAAATGCATGATAAAAAATAAATAATAGGTGCAAATTGTTACTAATTTGTCTATTCCAATCATTTCCAATAATATCTCTCTCCCTACCATCCCTCCCAAATTAAATTCTGCTATGATATGGATCAGGTATTGAAGTAGCCTGAGTGGGAAATGAAGGCTGTGGTCCCCAACCTGTCTGGCTTGTGAGCACAGCTCCCTTTGTGTAAGTGGCAGGTTTACGCAGCCCAGGGTTGGGGGACTCCTGTACTAAGGGAATACTTTGGATTCATGTAAAATTATACAATATTTTGTATGGCTCTGCTCAACTTGAGTTGCCTTCTTGATCATATTAGAGACCTACATGGATTTTGTGGCTTAATAAGAATGACTTGCCATTTAATTTCACATTGATAAGTTAAAGTTGAATCATGTCATAGTTAAAAGTAAAAGTTTCCCCTATCCAGTCATCTATGACTCTAGGGCAGTGGTGCTAACCCTTCTGAGTTCCTGTGTCAAAAATCGTGCGTGCACATGCCAGCACACAGAAGGCAATGCACCCCCCCCCATGCCCCCTGCACATGTATGCACAATTCTCCCCTTATCTGTACTGCGCCTCCCAGCTGATTTTCGGCCCATTTGAGGCCTTCTTCGGCCTCCCAGAGGCTCGAGGAAAGCTTTTTCAGGCCAAAAAATGGGCCTGTTTCATCACTTCTGTTATTTCTGGAAATACAGGAAGTGACAAAATGGGCCTATTTTGGGGCCTGCAAAGGCTTTCCTGGAGCCTCTGGGAGGCTGAAAAAGGCCTCAAACAGGCCGAAAATCAGCTGTGAGGCACGCACATGCGCAGTGAGGTAAGTTTGCCTGCAGCTTGCCTGCTGGCACAAATGGCTCTGTGTGTCACAGGTTCACCATCACGGCTCTAGGGAGTGATGCTCATCTGTTTCTTAGCTGAGTCAGCATTAGGCCAGCATGACTCTATGCTGAGAACACTGTTACCTTCCCACTAAAGTGATAATTACTTATCTATTCCCATTTGCATGCTTTCAAACTGCTTAGGTTGGCAGGGGATGGGGCAAGTAATGTGGATCCATCCATGGCGCTCAGGTCTTGAACCTAGAAAGGGCAGTCGTGTTGTAGACGGTTCAGACTTATTCTCATAAACTCCACAAGGTAAGACTAGAACTAATAGGATGAAACGTCAAGGATGTGAACATTAGGAAGAACATTTTGATGGTAAGAACTCCAGTCAATAGAATAAGTCACTACATGGACTTCTTCCCTTTCATGGAGATTTTCAAATAGAGGTTGATAGTCACTTACAAGACTGATATAGTGCATCTTGCAGTGTAGAGTAGGGTAAATATGATAATGTTCCTTCCACTCTTATGATTCTATGAAAACACGCATTGAGGGAACCAATTAGGCAACTGGATTTTTTGCTGGTTCTGGTTCCATGCTTAAAGTTGCTGTTTTATTTTTTTTTCTGAGACTTTGTTTCACTTTAGAGGTTGCTTATATGCAAGCATGGGTTGTCACTCAATGCCTGAGAAAGTGCAGTATTATTTGGATTGTAGCATGGGTTGTATATTAATAATGTGCTTGAATGGCTTTAACTATGAGTTGTAAGAACTAATGGTCTATTTTTTGGATGTCTTTTAATATGTCTTTCCTGGGAATTGATGAAGCTTTATCGATTGCTTACTGATTTGATTAGGTAATTCAGTCTCCCAAAAGCCTGGCTTTATTTCATCAATTGAGCGTCTTAGACCAAATGCATAAATTCTACTGATAAATAATATTTGTTTGTTTTCTCAATGGAAGCTGGAAGCATGTGGCTGTGCATTATGATCTGTGGGATTCCTATATAACATGATGTTTATTGTCTATTGTGTAATTTTTTGTGATGTCAAGAAGGTGAGCTTGTTCTATAAATAGGTCAGAACTAAGGTTGATGGTAGTGTAAGCTAAGATTTTGATGGAATTTAATGAGAGAGTCAAGTAAATGACAGCCTCCTCCCAGCTATTTTAGATACCATAGATAGAATTCTAATTCCTGTTTTCCCATTTGTACTTTCCATTAACACTAGTTACTCCAGTAAATATATAGTTTTAATTTCAGTTTTTTTTTCTTTTTCTGCTCCTGGTTTTGAGAAAAATGGACTGAAGGTTGTTCAGCATGCCTACTTGAGTTCCACTGAATATCAGTCTGTCGATGCTATGAATCAGATCTAGTGGCATTTTATCTAGCATTTTATCCTGGAGTTAGATTTAGAATTAATAAGTAAAATTTATTTGCCTTGGAAAGGCATTTCACTTCTTTAATCTCAATTTGAATTCTAACTGGAATAAATCCTTATTGTATTGCAAATAATTATAGTAACTCATCTTCATAAACTGTTCAGTCTAATATTAAAATAATTTAAATTAAATTAAAAGGACTTAATTTAAATCAGTGTTGAAATGATTTGAATATAGGTTTCCAGAAATGCCTGGTTGTTTAATTGATCTCCAAGGTACTTACCTGAATGGATGAAACTTACCAAATTGGTCTCTTACCTGTTGGTAATAATAATAATATTAATTTTGAAGTTTGCAGCAAAATAAAGAGAAGCAATTGTGAGCACACATTTGAAGTGGTTTTATATTCTGGATAGCATTCTAGCAGAGACAGTTATACAGGCACATTATATATCATGCTTTGTGTTATTTTTATCCAGCTGCCCTCCAAGCTCTAAAACGAAAGAAGAGATATGAAAAGCAACTTGCTCAAATTGATGGCACACTCTCCACAATTGAATTCCAGAGGGAAGCCTTGGAAAATGCTAATACCAACACTGAAGTGCTCAAGAATATGGGTTTTGCTGCAAAAGCAATGAAAGCTGCTCATGATAACATGTAAGATATCCTTCTTATTGGTTTTCTGGGGGGATGAGTACAAAGCAATGATTAGGATCTGCAGTGTTTTTGGTTTAATCAATGCAAGACATTTTTGACCATTGTCTAAAAAAATCAATTTTTAAAAATTTCAGAATTTATCCAGGAAAAACAGATCACAAGTTTTGGAATTCATATTCCCCACCCCCAAGTGTCTGAGTACTATAAAGCATTATTAATGTGCAGCATTACTGAATAAGGCAAAGAAAAGCTAATTTTGCTTAATAATTACCAATCCCTTTGTTTTGGAAAAATTTAAACACTTATTATCGCTGGCTTCTGTGGTTATTCATAAATGCATTCTACTTTGTATACTGAAATCATTTTTCATGTAGCATAAAAGGCATTTCACTTCTTTAATCTCAATTTGAATTCTAACTGGAATAAATCCTTATTGTATTGCAAATAATTATAGTAACTCCTCTTCATAAACTGTTCAGTCTAATATTAAAAGAATTAAATTAAAAGGACTTAATTTAAATCAGTGTTGAAATGATTTGAATATATGTTTCCAGAAATGCCTGGTTGTTTAATTGATCTCCAAGATACTTACCTGGATGGATGAAACTTACCAAATTGGTCTCTTACAGGGATATTGACAAAGTAGATGAACTCATGCAAGATATTGCAGAACAGCAAGAATTAGCTGATGAAATTTCAACCGCTATCTCCAAGCCTGTAGGAATTGGTGAAGAATTTGATGACGTAAGAATAAATAACTAAAAATAATTTCATTCTGTGTCAGACATACAATGGTTAGAAAGCTCAGTGATTTAAAATACTGTATTATAGGGCTAATTATTCATGAGTACTGTATTAACATGGTTTAGAAAACATTGTACATGCTGATGTGGTCACCTGGTAAGAACCACAGTTGTTAAACCATCTTTACTCTTCTTAATCTCTCAGTAGAATTAGAATTCTTTTATTGGCCAAGTGTGATTAGACACACAAGAAATTTGTCTTGGTGCAAATGCTCTCAGTATACATAAAAGAAAAGATACATTTGTCAAGAGTGAAGAATCATAAGGCACAACACTTAGTAATAGTCTTAGGGTACAATAAGCAATCAAATCATACTAGGAAACAATCAATATAAACAATAAGGATACAAGCCACAAAGTTAGTCATACAATCACAAGTGGGAGGGGATGGGTGATAAGGAGTGATGAGAAGAGTAATAGTAATAGTAGTACAGACTTTGTAAATATTTGGGCAGTGTTGAGGGAATTATTTGTTTAGTAGAGTGATTGCGTTCGGGAAAAAACTGTCCTTGTGTCTAGTTGATCTGGTGTGCAGTGCTCTATAGCATCGTTTTGAGGGAAGGAATTGAAACAGTTTATGTGTGAAATATTTTCACAGCCCTCTTTTTGACTCGTGCAGTATACAGGTCCTTGATTGAAGGCAGGTTGGTAATAATTGTTTTTTCTGCAGTCCTAATTATCCTCTGAAGTCTGTGTCTGTCCTGTTGGGTTGCAGAACCAAACCAGAGTTATAGAGGTACAGATGATAGACTCAATAATTCCTCTGTAGAACTGTATCAGCAGCTCCTTAATCTCCCAGTAGCCTTCAGTATCATCAAACATGATATCATTTTGGGTTGGCTACAGGGCCTGGGGCTGGGTAGCACAGTTTTGTGCTGATTCGTCTCCTTTCTCCGTGTCTGGTGTCACTTGAGTTTATAGGGAGTGAGAAGTCCAGCCGTCGACAGTTATCATGTTGTATGCCATAGGACTTGGTACTTTCTCCTCTCTTTTTTAACTTGTTCATGAAGCTGCTGGGTGAAATCATCTGTCACCATGGGTTGAGATATCAGAAGTACGCTGACAATACCCAACTTTATATTTCCACACTTGGTGACACAAGTGATACTGTTGCTGTCCTCTTGCAGTGCTGGAGGCCGTGAGGGCCTGGATAGGGGACAAGAGACTTTGAACCCTGGCATGACTGAATGGCTTTGGGTGTATAGGGCCCCGAGATCTTTGTCACCCCACTCTGGATGGGGTGGCACTGACCTAGATGGTTCTGGTCTGCAACTTGGAGGTTGTTCTGTTCCTCCTCAAAGAGCAGGTGGCAGTTGCAGCTAGGAGAGCCTTTGCACAACTTCAGGTTGTGCGCCAGTTGCAGCCTTTCCTGGATCAGGAGCCCCTTCACTCAGTCATTCAGGCCCTAATCATCTCACAATTGGACTATTGTATGGCACTGTACATGGAACTATCTTGAAGAGCATATGGAAGCTACAGCTGGCGCAGAATGCAGCAGCACGAATAGTTCTTGGGGCCCAAACAAGAACCCATGTAACATCCGAGCTTCACAAGCTGCATTGGCTGCTGGTTGGCCACAGGGTAGAATTCAAAGTGTTGGTAATCATTTTAAAGCCCTTCACTGCATGGGTTCAGGCTACTTGAAGGACTGTCTCATCCCATTGGGGTCGGCCCATCCCACCCATGCTGGTGGGGGAAGCATGCTGTGGGCCCTGTCAGCCCAAGTATTCTGGCTGCCGGGGTCCAGGAGAAAACTATTCTCTGCCATTATGCCTGTGCATAATGCCATTATTATCTTGCTCCCTGGAGTAAGGTTGGCTCCAACTTTCCTGACCTTCTGTAAGAGCCTAAAGGCCTGTCTCTGCCAGTTATCTTGGGGCTCCAATGCAGGAGCATCATAGTGGAAGTGGCTGATAACAACAGATCTCACCTCCCCCATTCTGTTCCTGCTCTCCTCATCTTTAATTGAACTGTAGTGTTTGGCTTGTATTAATGTTTTTACTGTATATAGTTTTATCTTTTATTATTGTAGGCTGGTCAGAGTTGCCCTGTGGTAAGGTGGATGGCCAATAAATGTTATAAATAAATAACTATAAATAAATAAATTATTGTTTTATATTGGGAGTTGCTCTGAATTACTGTGGAGCTGGATGGTGCTCAAATCCAACATATTGTGAGACTCTGAGAAAATCCAGTTACATCCAGTGGTTCATAAAAATACATTAAAACTATTTTTCCCTAATACAATATTAGTAAATGTGATTACAGATACTGATACAAGCAATGATTTTTTTCTCACTGGTTCCATTACAGGATGAGCTGATGGCTGAATTAGAAGAACTAGAGCAGGAAGAACTGGATAAAAACCTATTGGAAATCAGTGGTCCGGAGAATGTTCCACTACCCAACGTGCCCTCTATAGCTATACCTTCAAAGCCTGGTAAATGTTGGAAAGTGATGTCGTATGACAAATGTAGTTGCTGAACTATATACTGTTATGACAAATGTAGTTATGACAAATGTAGTTGCTGTACTATATGCTGTATGTACTCATATATATCCTATTTGCATAATTTATTTTTAAACAGTATTCACAAGGCAGAAATCCACCTCTGCTGTGCTGTCGCCACTGCTCAATTTATTTTAAAAAATATCTTGCTGTATCTACATCTAACATTTGTTTGTTTTATCGGAATATCTAATCTTTTTTCCAATAACAGTTTTATAGAACTATAAAAGTACATAGTAATGATACTAAGCTGGCAGGAATAACCAACACCCCAGAAGACAAGTTCAGGATCCAAAAAGATATTGATGGATTTGAGCAATGGGCCCTATCCAACAAAATGAAATTTAATGTGGAGAAAAGCACATTTGTATACCTGGGCAGGAAAAACCAAAGTTACAAGTATAGATCAGGCGAAACCTGGCTCAAAAACAGTAACTGTGAGAGGGAGCTTAGAGTCCTACCGTGTTTCTCATATAATAAGGCTGGGTCTTATTTTTTTTGAGCCCTGAAAAAATGGCTAGGCCGTCTTTTTGGGGGTGACTTAATTGCCCCCCCCCCCCTTGCATCTTTGGGCAGGCGGGCGGCGACAGCTTGGATGTTGATCTTGGTGTTGGTAGGGCACTTTTATCAGGGTCAGCGCAGGCAGCATGATATCCGGGTGTGCAACAAAAGTACTTCCTAACAGCAAGCCCCCACACTATTTCCCCCCCATTTCGCATGTTTTAATATAGGCCTTAATTTGGGGGGGAAGGCTTAATTTCATTTCATGCCTATAAAACATGCTGGGACTTCCTATTGGGGGAGGCCGTATTGTTGGAGAAACAGGGTAGTAGACTATCACTTAAACATGAGCCAGCAGTGTGTGACAGCAGCCCAAAACGCTAATACAATCCTTTGTTGTATAAATAGAGGTATAGAATCTAAATCACATGAAGTATTAGTACTGCTTTATAAAGTCTTAGTAAGGCCACACCTGGAATACTACACCTCATTACAAAAAAGATGTTGAGACTTTTGAAAAAGTGCAAAGAAGAGCAATTAAGATGATTAAAGGCCTGGAAACTAAAACATGAAATAGAGTTGCAGGATTTGGATTTGGCCAGTCTAGAGAAAAGAACTAGGGAGGACATGATACCAGTATTCCAGTATTTGAGGTAGCTCCCACATTTCCCAAAGCACCAGAGGGCAGGATAAGAAACAATGGATGGAAACTCGTGAAGGAGAGAAACAACCTGGAATTAAGGAGAAAGGGTGCTTCATTACTGGAGATTTTAAGAAGAGACTTATCAGTCACTTGTCTGAAATGGTATAGGATCTCCTGCTTGAGCCAGGGGTTGGTCTAGAAGATCTCCAAGATCCCTTGCAGCTCTATTCTGATCGATTGATCTAATGTTATAAACTGCACAGTGGAAATTTGAGATTAGGACAATATTACAAATTGCGACTCCATGACAAAAAGGTTGTTATGCCATTAAAATGGTTCTTGGAAATACAAACTAATTGTAGACTGTATAATATAAAACATTTGTTATAATACAAGTAGTGAAATCTTACGTTTTCACCTGTCAATTTTTTTTCTTTCTATTATATTTCAGCTTAATTTAACAACAGGTTTTGCATAAATTTCTAGTTTCATTCATTCATCATAGCAGTCTAATGATTTTTCTAACTTATAGGGGTTTTTATACCTTGCACATATGTGGTAATTAAATCAGTATTGAAAGGAAAATGTTTAATTCTGTACTATTGTGCTTTGCTTCTAGCTAAGAAAAAAGAAGAGGAAGAGGATGATGACATGAAAGAGCTTGAAGCCTGGGCTGAAAACATGTAACTGTACTAGCAGTGAACTGGATAAATAATTGGGACTGGTCACCTGTTGCTAAAGGTGCACATATACTTGGGAGACTTCATTAAGTGCAAAGTCGTTTATTTCTTTAAGCCCCAAACTAGGAATTCTACAGAGCATGGTTTGAACAAAATAAACAAAAGTGTCCAAGGAGGGCACCTGTATTTATACAATGTTGAATTCCTTTAAATAATAAATATTATTGGCCAAACACTCCAATATTCAGCTTCTGGACTTAGCTAATGCCATTGCTGGATCCTCATCTTTCAGAATTCTGACTATGTTGAGACCTGGGATGTGAAAGTGGTAACTTAAGTTGAATGAAATTTTTAGAAGTCTTGTAAAGCATTACAAAATGAAAACCCATAAGCCATTATTGGTTTACTGTGTTTAGATGTACAATTGCATTAAGCTTTTAGTACTTTAAAGTCTGTATTTATATTGGCAACACTGAAATGCCTCTCATCATGATACTAAACTTGGTCACTTGGTGAAGTGGGTTTGGAATGATAAATTATTTTGTTATGGAAATAAATTAAATTTACACTTCTGTTCTAGCTGTACACTTTTCTATATAGCACTTGGATGTTTGCTATTTGTGACAACCGATAGCCCATGCAGAAACAAACATACATTTATTTTAAATATGAATGAACTGTACTAAACTGATTTTCATATTGTCAGAACGATGTGTTCATTTGTATATATATTACAAAAGTTTGAAAAAATGTTGAATTTTCTTCCAGTTTATTTCTTAGTTTTTCCTTATCATTCTCTCACAATCTGCCTTTGAGATAGAAATATTGTACAGATATTCCAAGTATCTCCTCACAAGCTTTTCTTTTTTTATTTTTCAAAGAGAATAATCTAGAAACAAATATATTTGAGAATTAAGCAGTATTGCTGGAAAATTTTTGAAATTCACCTATTTTGAATGGTTTACTGTGTCTGATTATCTACCTTTTGAACTTTTTTTTCTATGTGAGGTTTCATAACAAGGTCTAAGAGAAACTTGGTGTCAGATAAAAAAAAACAATTCCTTCATAATAATATAATAAAAAAATATTTTTCAGTTTGTATATTCATATATTTTACAGCTATGTCAGTTTCTTTATATGAAACTGAGTGGATGCTCACATACATTTCATAAATGCATTTAGTCTTTACCAAAGTGCTACCAAATCCCAAAGCATCATGCTTGATCCTAATGCTGGCTAATCCTGCCAGTTTCTTTGTTCTCTAGTATATCGGAATCTTACCTGGAAAATTTTACAAGGCTATAATTGAACGTAATATTCTGAAAGGTAAAAACAGAAATGCAACAATCCTTTGGGGTTTTTTTGGAAGCAACATATAGTTTTAAAAATCCTAAAACAGATAATTTCACTCTTGGTATTGCTAAGGAAGTATCTGCATACCAACCATCTCACAATTGCATTTGAGTATGGTTCTCCATATTTATCTCTTATGGTTTTTAAACAATTCTTCAGTGTTCTCAAGATTGTGAGCCAATTTTCTCAAGGAAGAAGATTACGGTATGTACTATTATACTGAAGTACTGCTTTCCTCTATATGTTTTTACCCCATGGTGGAGGCAAAGTGGAACTTACTATGATACTCTTGGTTTTCAAAGTAACTGCTATTTTGTATAGTTGTCTTGAATAGAGACATAATTGCATTGAGGGTTGGCTGTAATGCAGTGCTGAATTACCAATTCTCAACAGCTGATTCTTTGGTTCATTTTCTCGAATGTATTTACTGTAATTCACTTTGTCATTTAAGATTATCGCCTCATTGCCGACCCTGAATGAACAGTCCTACAGAGCTTGTGTGAGATTTTTTTTTAATGAACTCCAGGTCTATAAGAATTCTAATCGATAAAATGGTTTATATGTCTTGCTTCTATGGAATAAAGCAGAGAATGACACATAGATCTAGCTTTTACAGCTCTTCCCACAATCGTGTTTTCTTCTAATAAAGATCCACTGGATTTTTTTTATTAGAAAAGTAATTAGAAAATTTACAAAAACTAAAATTTAAACAAACGTAAAAGCTGTGTCACAGGCTCATTTTTGTTTGGTAAACGGGGTGGATTGGATTTTACTAACACAAGATACTTTATTGCTGAGCAGTTATAAAAGTAATGTGAGATCAACAAAAATAAAGCCTTTATTAAGTCTATCATACCTTTGTGCCTATCTTATTCTTGCTTCCTACACCTCAGGGTTTGTTTCTATTATTCTGGAAATATTAGGTGCTTAAGTACATTTTCTGCAGCTTCAGATATTATGTCTCTGCCAGCTTTCAGTTTGGAAGCGTAAAGCAAGCTGTTGCACAATCTCTGCAAAATTTATGACTGTCCCTTTTGTATGTTGCTAAGTCAACTTCACCCACTCTTTTTTAGCATTTGGAATCTTTTCTCCGCAGCCTCTTCCATCAGAGTTCTGGATCTGATGTAAATGTGTAAATACTTGTAGATGTGTGGCTATGGCTTAGCTGCTAAAGGATTCACTTAGTGGCAAATTTCAGTTCCGCTGGACTGTTGTTTTTCTATTCTTTTGGTTATTGTTGCTTTGCCTTTAACTAGACTGTAGCTGCCTCTTCTTCCTCTGTTGCCCCCAATTTGCCAATTGCTCCTTACTGTTCCTGTCCCCTCCACCCCCCTGCCCTGGCTGTGGCTTGATTTTTTTTTACTTCTTTCTTCCTCCCAAACCCAGGCTTGCAGCCTTGAAATATGCACTTAAAAGCAGAACTGGGAATATTTTCTGCACCCTCCTGCTTTTATTGTAATTCCTTTTAACACCAACTGTCCAGCTAGGAGACGGAAAAAAGGGGAGAGATTCATGGAGGTTCTAGGAAGCCATGTAGCTTAATGAAGGAAAAAGGAGGAGGAACAAACTTGCTCCTTTTAGAAGCTCTGGTTCCCCTCTCCCACTTCTCCCCCACCCCCCCAAAACAGCAGAAAAAAATACAAAATGCTGTTCTTTCAAAAGTATACTCTCCTTCAAAAACTAATGGGAAGGAAGGATTCACATCTTCCAGATTTTTGTAGGTGACCTGTCTTCCACAGTCTTAACTAGCCATGCATATGCTTACATATTAAATGCATGTTATGTTTTATTCTAGATGAGGAAAGTAATATTTTATCTTTTTAAACTGCTATACAATAGGTATAGGTATACATGTATATAAAGAGTTCTGTATAAAGTATAGAGACCTTTTAAATCAAATCTATTAGTATGTTTTGCCCAATATTTACAGTGTTCAGAGTTCTTCCACTTCGGAACTACACATGAGTTCACCACTATTAACACTTTGGCAATTACTTTTATCAGACCATCATCTCTCTCATCTTCTAATTGCCACAATAAATAAATATTGAAATTCACCATGAATTTTCCTGTTTCTTTGATATACTCCTAATTTGTCAATCTGCTTAGTTTCTTACAAACAAATTGTACAGTAGAAGTGCGTAGAGATTCCTCCCTCCATGCTTAGCTACTATCAACCCAAAGTGATGTTTAGTTACTATCAATCAAAAGTGATTACCAAACATTTTTCATGTGTGTTAACAAAACAATTGGATAATACAATATGTAATTTCATAGCTTTAATAAGTGTAGATAAAAAATGAAATTGTAAATGTCACCATTCTCAAGTATGCTATTTATCTGTGAGATTTCTATAAATGATATGAAGTGAAAAGATCAAGTTGTTGATTCTTTATATTGATCAACAATATCCAAATTGATCAATCGGTTCTATTGTCTTACAAGTCCAAATACCACTCTAGATTTTGCTTGCTGCTTAGAAATGCTCCTAGAGTTGACATTATATCCTTAAACATTTTATTTTGTGCCTTTCAGTTTGAGCGGTGTTTATGAAATTTGGCCAAGAAAAAAAGTATTTTATAAAATATATGTAGTATTGTATTTCAGGATCCATTGAAAATCAGTCTTAATTATTGCACAGATTCAAAGAGAGGGAGGGAGAGGAGGGGAGAGAGAGAGAGAGAGAGAGAGAGAAAGAGAATGGATTAAAATGCACGTTAGGATATGACAATATTTTTAAGGGATTATTTCCATGCCTGCTGCTCTGTGTTCTTGAGAGCAAATGGATTATTGCTTCAAGAAAATAAACTACTGTAATTCTTTAATTCAGACAGTAGATGTGAAATACTGTTTTTTGAACACTGGGTGGCAAACTTGCACCATTCCACATAAAATTTCATCTTGGTGTAAAGTGGAATGAGGAGAAATATTTTTTTAACGTTGCTGAAATTTCTTAACTTGAATTATTTTTAAGAAAGATAAGTTTTCCCAAGTCTACTTATTTAATGTAGAATATTATAATTTAAATAGATCACACTACTGTTTATCAAGCAATATAAGTAATATGCATTCATTGTGACTTGGAATTGCACTTCCTCTATGTGTTATTTGCATGATTACTGCCATGGTCTACACTATTTTGATGGCTAATAAAGGAATGATATGCTCTAAAACAGTGGTTTCCAACCTATGGTCAATGGACACCTGGCAGGGGGGGGTTTGCTATGTCATCACAGCAGATCTGTGAAGGCTTGAAGAAATGTTATTTTACACCTTGAGTTAAGCTTTCATGGCCACGGTCCATGGCTATGGTCTATGGTCATAAAAGGTATTTAAAGAGGGGCTATGATGAAGAAAAAGTTGAGAACCATTGCTCTAAAAGACTATTCACATGATTTGTACATGCAATTTGTCTGCTGGGCAAGAATCGATATGAAAAACCCTTTGTCACCCTGTTCCTGGCTGTATATAGTAATTATGGGCTTCATCAATACTTCCTCCCATACTATTCCTGTAAAGTCTTCAGTTCTTGAAGCAGAATAGCCTTCCATGTTGACATTCCAAGCTGTTGGGCAGGATTTACAATTGTTAACAAACTTTCTGGTGTTGGGATTTAACAAATAGTTCTTGTTCCAGAGAGCAGAGAAGTGACTCTACAAATGTTGCAAATGAAATCTCCCTGAAGCCCCAACCAGGAATGCATTATAGAAACATCTGGAGAGCCAAAGTTATTGTACATGTAGTCCTTATTTAATGACCACAATTGATGCCAGAATTTGGATTGTAAGTCATTGTGGTCATTAAATGGGTGACCACATGGCATAATTTTATTTTACAATCACTTTTATGAGAGTTGTAAAGCGAGTTACCATGGTCTTTAAGCAAACTGGTCATTCAGTAAATTCATTCTCCCAAATGGACATTTTTTGTCAGAAAAGGTCACAACCAATCATAAATGTGAGCCAATTGACAAGCACCCAAAATGTGACCATGTGACCACGGGTTTGTGTGCTGCAGTTATTTTGCGGACAGGTTGTAAGTAACTCTTTTAATCCATTGTAACTGAATAGTTCTTAATTGAGGATTACCTGTATCTCTTGATATATACAGTTTTCTACCCTGGCCTTTTGTATTTCTAGCCTCATATTGTGTCATGCTCCTGTTGGAGTCTGACTCCAAGGGAGAGGAGGAACAGCGGACAGAGAGTGGGAGTGTGGCTCTGGGGAAGGAAGTGGCCCTGATCCCCTTCATGGGCTGCAGCTGTGAGGACTGTTAAAAGGACAAACTGCACATGGCCCAGTGCTGGAAGCAAAGCATGCATTATTCTTGTCAGAGCTTATCTGTGTTTTGGCTTCCTCCCAACTGTGGTGGCTGCATTACCTGGTAGAAGTCTGCAATTAATCATCGTTGCCTGCCGTAGTAATTCCTTCAGTGTGGTTTGTGTTGTGTTTTTTATTTCTAATTAACTTTACTTTGGGTGCAGATGGCATTTACTCCTGTAAACTGTTTTCTTTCCAGCCGAGGATAATTGGACATTGGGGTCAAGTTAGAGGCATTAAAGGAACTTAATTCTATTTTTGTGCCTTGGTTATTTTTGTGTCACACCCCAGGTCATCACATATTGTTTGATGTAGTGTAAAACCACAGTGTGAGCTTTTAGACTGTTCTTGGGGCCAAATATAAAAGAGTCTGATTTGCAACAGACAAATGGTAATTTTATCAGTGATAGGTGTAGCTGGCAAACAAAAATACAATAATTAACATCCCTCACAGTGCAATTCTCTTGATCCAGATTGTATTACCATTCCTGACAGTAAAGTAATTGTTACGATTTTGAAGGCATTGATATTTTTCCCTTAAGGCTTAAGTCTTGCCCATTCTGCTATCATCTTCTCATATCTTCCATATCATGGCATCTTTCCTACTCATGGAGCTGCTATTACTGAAACTTCCTGCCTTCTGTTTCATCCTCTTCTTTGTGCCGAACTTCCATTTGTTCACTCTCTTCATTTTCCCTGCCTCTTTCTTCTCCAGTCACTTTCTTTTTTAAAAAAAAAACAAATTTTATTAATTTTCAAAGACAATACACAGACAAACAAAACATAAAACATAAGAACATAGAACATCTTTTCTAAGAACTGCTTAACAAAACAAATAAAACATCTTGTTTAAGTACAACATAATTCCTAATTTATCACATTTCCATACAAACACAATTTAATATGCATCTTATGTATTCAACTTCATATCTTATTACTCTTTTTCCAACTTCTCACTGTTTCTTCCTTTACTTCTGTTCAATTTTATTCATTAAACTTATGCTTTCATCTATTTCATATTACTATATTTCATATTATTACTGTTTCATATGTTCTTATCCAGCATTATTAATTCTCAATAAACAAACATAAACAAAAAAAACATATAACATAAAAACATAAAACTTCTTTTTAGAAAGCGGCTTAACCCCGGGTTACAACTTTTTGTACAGACATAAATCAGATTCATGCTCACCTTATATACTATTTCATATATTATTTAACATTCTATATTTTCTATATGTCTTCTCCCCTCTTTTCACTCTCTTAATTCTATTTTATTTATTTAATCTTAATTTAAATCATTATACTTGTATCTTTTGTCCGTTCTTTTTCAATTATCTATTTATCTTTTCTCTTTAATACAAACTTTTTCTTGTAATTACTGGTTGAAGTATGACACCTTTCTATCTTTCCCCCAAATTTAACACTTAAGATAATACATAATTTCCATTCTGATTCTGCTTCGTACATTCTACATAACATTTTAAAATAAAAAACACAATAAGCTCATAGTATGGTAAAAACAATGTTATAACAAATTAATTAATTAAGCTCTATTAGTTAAATCTTAGACATTTTACACATTCCCTACAATGTTCTATTAACACATATGTTATTCCAATTTTCTAACTCTATTTCAAATACAAATCCTACAATACAATCTTATGTACTTTTGCAGAATCTTTTTTTAGATTATATTTTACCCTTTCTCTTTGAAAAAAGACTGTTTTTTAACGTCTTGTTTTAAGCCTTTATAACTTTTCTTCACTTTTTCCCTTCCTTTCTTGTCAAATCTAGCCTTTTTAACCCCCCCATCTATCCATCTTCACCCTCTTAGTCTCCCCTCTCTGTAGTATTCCTCTTTTCTGTTGCTTTCTGACATTATATCGATTTTTCACCTCATTTTTCCCTTTCTTGGTTGTTTTTTTAGAACTTAAATTCTCCATTTTCTTTTCCTTTTTTCCCTTTTCTTCCTCAATTAAAATTATATGTCCATTAAAGATGGCTTCTTCTTCATCCCAACCTTCTTGTTGTATTTCCTGATAAGTAGAAATCGCCATTTCTAAGAAGCGAAAAATAGATCCAAAAGAGCCCTTGCCTTCTTGTTCCTCTTCTTTTAACTTTTCAAATTCCATTTTCAATTCTTCAACAGATACCATTGTGAAAATATTCTTTTTAAACAATCCATATGTTTTTTTAGTCTTTCAAAAGATAGTTTGCAAAAGTCCCAAAGTCATCAAGCAATCAAAACCAGCACAAACTGTTTCATTTAGCACTTTCTTCTTTTAATACTTTCTCTTCCTGGGGTAGAATTCAATTACACAATTCCAAAGTAATTTTTTTTGAAGTCTTATTGCAATTTAATCTCTGATCATATAAGCTCCAAGCAGTCTCCTTCAACAAATCTTGGTATAAATCATTTACCTCTCTTCCTTCCCACTTATAGCAAAAAGATTTTAATTTTTAAATGTCAGTGTTTAGAAATCTAATGTCCCCTTGGCTTTAATTTTCAAAATTAGTTACCTTCTGCTGCCAAAGCAGGTATTTCCGATTTCCATCTGCTATCTCCGTAGGGAAGGAAAGTGAGGAGAAAAAAAAAAAGCTTTCACTTTCACTTTCAACCGCAGCTTTACGATCTTCTTGGGAAACAATGTATCATTTAAAGAGCCAAAGTTCCAGGGTATTCAGATGTTGCTTGTCCCAGTTCAGCCAAAAACTTTCACTTTCTCAACTTCCTCCTGCACAAAACTTGTCCAGCTGAGAGGTTCTTTGTGACGGCCATTGCTGAATGCCGCTCCACCACCTTTGGAAAAGGGAGTTAAGCCGGCTGGGGAAGGGGATTGCGATGCCCCCAGACCCGTGCCTGGATCTCCCCTATCTTCAGTTATCCCTACAGGATAACTATAGCCTCCGGATCCAGCTGGATCGGAGGCACTCCGGCAGCAAGCGTGGCAGGGATCGCGCACAAATGCGAATTCCTACTGCCTCCGAAGCCTGACAAACCGGAACTCCTTCTCCAGTCACTTTCTTTGCCTCCTCTGAGCTGGACTTCAGGGCATCTTTATCTTTTTGATTATCAAATATACCTGCACCAATAGTAAATTTACTACAGATATCACTCTTGTCCCAGCCAAATTTTAGAGCCCCTCACTCTAGACCTGGGATTATGCCTGTGCATACTGCTGCATATTTCCAGCTCACA